GACTTTCTGCAAAATATGTCTTCTTAGAGATCACAAATGACAGCTGTTCGGCTAGCTGCTGGCTGTAGCCCTGCTCAATATTTTTCATTTCCCTCCTAATGTTCTATCAAACACTTGTTACCAAAGACTTTCCTTCAACAGGCACCTTATTCCAGGTGATTAACTGTGATAATATCAATAACTATTTTACCATTGATGCCTTCGACTATCAACGTCTTATTTTTCACTGGTAATAACGTTATCACTGTCTTTAGACCAATCCTAAGTCAAATAATAAAACTTAAATACCTGAGGTTTTCTTTCTTTCATGAACACCTTTCTGTGCCAAATACTGTATCAGAAAAGATATTAGTGGAGGAGGTAGAAACCACTCTAGGTAGTTTATTCCGAAAAGAAATTTGGTGCATGCAAAATCTTTGGAAATGCTGGAGGAGTGAAGGTCAGGATACAATGAAACTTTTAGTTTCCAGATTATACAACTGGCTGTGATCTAGAAGTCAGAAAACAAGAGCAGCTATTGTTAACTGACCTTTTCCAGAGCTGCTCTTCCACCATGACTTACACGTTTGAAGGTAGAAGCTAGAAGGTAGATGCTATTCTCATTTACAATGCAGCTTTCTTTGCGGTTGCTACAGCTAAGAAGAGAAGGTCTCTGTCTCCCTTTCACCTTCTAAATCTCATGATGTACATAGGAGACCTGATATATCTGAATCATATAATTGTTCTAAAGGTTTTTAAAATTTTAGTTCTTCCATGTCATTAGTTTTACTAAAATACTTAATGATTCTTCATTGCCTATATGTCTGTATACATAGATTGTGTGGTATTGCTGACCAGAATTTATATGCCTTGCCTAAGTAAGACCTGTTCACCTGGCAGATACGTATGCAAGTTCTGTTTATAGATATCCTTGCTCTGATGGTTGTGTGCGGAAAAAGGAGGATGGTGGTATAGGGAGGGTGCACGTGAGTAGGCTGCCCTTTATGGTTCATGAGTAGTTTGCATGCTGAATCTTCCTATTTCTTGTGGCAATTGATAATCACTGGGCTCACTCCTTCTTTCTCCTATAAACCTGGTGCTCATTCTGGTAAATTTCTGGAGTCAGACTTCCTACTTAGTAGAACTGAACTTGAAGTTTTATTCTGGGGAGAAACACTGTTTTCAGTTCCTCTGAAATCAGAATTGCTATGTGACTTTCCCCTTCTAATGCATTACCCAGCTTGCTGTCCAAGCCTGCCTTTCTAACAGGCCTCATTATCTCCCATCTAAGGGTTATATGGAGAATTTACTAGAAAAATTCATTTATTGTGACTCCTCTCTTTCTCTTGGGTAAGATTTTTAGCTTCTTGGTCTGGTGGGTTTTGTTGGCAATTTGACCCTTTCTCCGTAACTGTCAAAATTAGTAGCCCTCAAAAGTTTGCTGAGGACACTCCTCTCAGGTTTATAGTAGCACTATGGTTTTATGGCTTTATTTCTATTTGTATATTTGTGATTTCAGTGAATTTTGGGGAGGGTAGAAAGGTAATTCAGATGTTTGATTACCCTTTGTGAACCAGACCTATTACCCTTAGACTTATCACAAACTGATTAGCACTTTCCTGATGCTTAAAAATGTTAATCCAGATCTACATCTTCTCTCTCAAACCAGGTAAAACAATTCAAATTTTGTTTCATTTTTTATTTTATTTTCCCCAAGCACCCCATCTCTTTACCTCCAAATGTCTTGGATTCAGTTCCAATTATAAGGAAGAAGGTGTATTAAGTAGGTTTGAAAAAAAATTTGGAATGGACGTTTCTACAGCACAATAGAAAGGTTGGGGGGGGGACACAGCAGTGGCAGTTTGGGTCATATGACTAGCAGCTCATACATATTGGAAGGGTTTACATTTTTAGCAGTATTAAGGAAAACAGAAAGACGAGGTTGCGCTATAACTGTTATGGAGGGATGTCCTGGGGGCATTAGTCCAGCTTTTGAGGAACCTGACTAGTCCTGCTGCCTTAGCCCGGGACATTTGCATATGTCCCTCCCTTGGTCTGGAACACCTTTCTCTCCTTCCCTCCCTTCCCCAGGCCAGTTCAGACACTTTGTGTCTGGATCTAAATATAAGTTTCTCCAGGAAGCCCTCCTGAGTGGCTTCTCTCTCCTGTGTGTGTGTATTTTCTCTCTGGTAGCCCTTTCCACAGCATACAGCAATGGTTTATTGACTTGTTTGTATCCTCGGCTGTATCCTAAACTCTGGAAAAGGAAAAGACAACTGTCTTGCAGAAAGTCCAACCTCTATGTAATCACTTCACAAACTGTGCTTCATGTATATTTACTATTGGGTTGGCCAAAAAGTTCATTAGGTTTTTTCCATAAGATGGCTCTAATAATGCTTAGTAGTTTTTAACTTCACTCAAAACAATTTTGTTGATTGTATTGTGACAGCTGTCATATCAGCGTGCATTTTTAAAAAACATCAAAATTAGTGAATTTTTGTGTAGCCACTTTAATATTGAAGATGGAAGAAAATAAGCAACATTTTGGGCATATTATGTGTTATTATTTCAAGAAAGGTAAAAATGCAACTGAAATGTGAAAAAAGATTTATGCAGTGTATGGAGAAGGCACCGTGACTGGTTGAATGTGTCAAAAGTGTTTGGGGAAGTTTTGCACTGGAGATTTCTCTCTGGAAGATGCTCCACAGTTGGGTGGACCAGTTGAAGTTGATAGCAATCAAACTGAGACACTGAGAGGAATGTAACCATGCAGGAGATAGCCAACGTACTAAAATACCCAAATCAATAAAGTTATTGGTGAAAATGAAAAAATGTCTTATTTTACAGAAAAAAAAAACAACACAAGAACTTTTTGGCCAACCCAGTATTTTTCAAATTTAATGTTATATAATTTAATTCCAGTTTATAAAAGCATTAAACATGTGTCTTCAAAGGGTAAGCTCGACTACATTATATGATTTGATTCCTACACATTTAAAGTCTTTCGTAACAGTGTATTTTCTTATGTTATAAACATTGCCACATTATTAATGTATACTTGTGGAATAAACAAATAAATTGAATCAGCTTCCTGCAAACCTTTCTCTATCCTTGATATACAAACATTTAAAAAAAGTATTAATATTGCTTAGATTCTAACATTTTAACGTTGCTTTAAAAAGTAACTAACTTGTATGTGAATAAGCATGGTGTTTGTAACTGTCAAAGGTGTGGACTCCCAAGAAAGTAGATACCAACACTAAAAAGCTGCTGGTGGCTACCTGGACTCAAATTTAAAGGCAGAGTCAAGCATCCATTTCTAAATAGGGGACTTTCATGCAAACCACACTTCAGGGAGAAGCCTGCACTGACCTGCCTGCCTGCGTTGTGTCCCTGACCTAGGGGCCAGTCCTTATAAAGGAGTTCCTGGAATAGCATTTCAGTCAACAGGACTGAAGTTTTCCCCATCCTATTGGACGTGCACAGCTATATCACCATCAGGATCTTCACTGAGCAATCAGAGAAGCTCTATTTTGACAAATCAGGGCGGTGATTTTTGGATCAAACTGAGAGGATTTGGAGTTCTCACTTGCAAAAGCCCCAGGGGCAGGACTTCTGTCTGTAGAAGTAAGGCCCTCTCTAGCCCTAAAAGTCCACTTTACCTTTCCAGGAAAGACCGAAGGTTGTGTTTCCCTGGCTGGAGCTGAAACACCAAAGATGTCTCACTGGAGTAGAGGGGAGCAGACCAGGAGCAGAGTTGTCTAGCCGGAGAGGGGCCTGGTCCCAGGTGTTGCCTCCCCGCCGTGCCATGCTGCTTCACAATTGAGCTGTATACTAACTACTGCGTTGTTCCGCAGCCATACTAAACTGGAGATTCCTGTTGGCATCGAACTGGCCCCAAAGACCATCCGACATTGACAAAGGACTGCTGTGTCTGGTTGTGCATATTCTCCGGTTGTTATGGGTTTAATAATTCATTTTAATAAATTTTCTAAGTGGATGCAAGGCACAATTTCACATTCCCATGGACACACATTTTGAGTTACACAATATACTTGTGAGAGGGAATATATTCCCCTACGCATATTATCTCTTTCTCTTAACAGAATTAAATACTATGTATATTTTACTTATGTGGCAATGTCTGTTCACAGAACAATCATTGAAACAATAGTTAATATAATTAAATGAATGATTCTCCCTCTGTTAGAGTTGCAATTATCAAAGCAACAACCAAGCAAGATATAAAGCTAGTCTCACATTACCCACTTCCAGGATATAAAAATTTCCCAGGTTCCTAGACATTTTAAAGAATCCAATTTATGGAAGAAGCAGCAGAAGAGATAGTATTACTTATTTTTTTTTGATAGTGACTTAAGTTATCAAACGTCCTTTTATGGAAAATGTATTCTAAGTGAAGACTTAAAATCAGAAACAAAAATTGAGTCCCCTACGGATTTGCACCAACGGCGGAGCCTCAGGGATTTGTGGGCGGAGCCACGTAGAGTCTGGGGAGGTTCTCGGTTCTCGCCGACCACAGTCGGCTCCGCTCGGCTCGCCCTCCGCTCCGTCTCCGCTCGCTCTCGGCTTCCTTTCGGCTCTGTTCGGTTCCTCTCTGGGAGGGAGAGGGGCCGCGAGCCCCGGCGCAGGCGCTCTCGGCTCCTGCTGCACTTAGGGCCCCGCTCTGCCTCGTGTTTTTACTTCCTTCTCTCCCGAGCTGTATCCGGGTCGTTGCTTTCCCTATTGTCTCAGGCAATCGGCTTCGGATTGTGCAAAATCTGTTTTTGTTTTTGTTTTCCCTGTTGCTTTTGGTGCAGGCTAATAAAGTTTTTCTTTTCTTTTTTTTCTTAACAGTTTTAACGGGATATTAACTCCCCAGGCCTGCCGGGTTGGCCACGCTGCCTGGACCGGAGGGCGCCTGTGCCCGGGGAGCGCCGTGGGAAGGGGGCGCGAGCGGCCGGGGCCGGCTCTAAGAAGGCTGGGGGGCGGGCCGGGGGGTGGGGTGCGGGCGGGGACTGAAGGGGTGCACCTGGGATGCCCCGGTCCGCTCGGCGGCACCGCCGATTTTAAATAGCATCTTTCCGATCTGTTTCCGCGGTCTCAGTCCCCGACCTCGGCGCTGCCTGGGCTCTCGCAGCCTCTCTCTAGGTCTCCTCCAAACGACCACCTCACGGATTCCTTAGTAAGTGTCGGAGGCCTCCGCGGGGAGAAAGAATCATGTCAGCCCTTCCAGAAGCCAGAGCCGGTGGGACAGCAGGGAGGGGGCTGGGGCGATCCGTGGACTGTTCCCCTTCACAGTCCGCGGGAATGATCGCGGCTTCTTTTATTCCTTGGGCTTTGCATTTTCTTTCTGTTGATTGTCAGGGTGTCTAAATGAGGGATTACGAGCGAGGCACCGAAACATCACAAAGGTGTGCAGGAGGGTCAGCTTCGATTTCGGCCAGACTGGGTTCGCCTTCGCCGCACCTCGTGGCTGGAGCTGCCCACCTTGCGGCCCGGCCCTCGCGAGCCCGCGTTCTCACCCCTGCCTCCCTCAACACCCTTTGCTGAGAACTGAATTAGATAAAGATTCCCTGCAGGAGGCCTTCCGTACCTTCCTTCAGCACCACAGCCCTCCCCTGTGCTTGGTGTGATTTTGAATGACGCTGTATTTTTTTCCCCCCCTTAACAGTGGATCGCAGCTCCAAGAGGAGGCAGGTGAAGCCTTTGGCAGCTTCTCTGCTAGAAGCTCTCGATTATGATAGTTCAGATGACAGTGATTTTAAAGTTGGAGATGCCTCAGGTAAATGTTTCTCTCTTCCCTTTCTCAGATTTCTGGAGTTGGGTTTATTTTCAGACTTTTTTTTTTTCAAGAGTCGGTTTTGATAAAAATGACAATTTAAAGTTAAAGCACATAAACGTCATTTATTTTGTCCATTTGACTTCCCACATTTCCCTAAGATCCTAACACTAGGTCCTATCGTTACCTCTCTTTCTGTTGATACTTAGATAAGGAGCTGGCAGAGGACTTACTCCAAAGATGCAGAAACATTTTCTCTATTCTTTACCTGAAAATATATTTATGCTTATTTCATGGATGGAGGGGAAAAGTGAGAGATGTCACTGGGTAGAGTGATATCCTGAGAGCAATGAGAGTCATGAACTGCTTGCGAGCAGGAGGAGCAGGGTTCTCTTTCCAGTTCACTTGGCACCTTCGGAGGCGTTTTATTTTTTGTCTGTAGCTCCCATACCAGAATAAAACTGACCAGAGAAAAAAGTTGTGCTTCGTAGTAGCAGCTGGACCTTATGGACTGGGCCTTTCAAAAATCTCTGAGATGTAAAGCATGCATGCTTGCTTTATATTTTGTGATTTTAAAAACAATGAACTTTTTTTAAAAGGTCATATATTCACATTGTACAAAAATTGAAAAACATAGAAAAGTATGGTGTACTTTGTATCTTCTGTTCATTGTAACTCATAGAGAGAGATACATATAAAGTTTTAATTGCAGGAATCTGAGAAATGGATACAAATTATGTTAAAATGTTTTACGTAAAAAATACCAAGATGCACATGAACAATAAAAATTACTTATAATTCTACCCCTTTTGAGTGGAAATTTAAGTAAAGTGAGAAATGAAAGCCCTTCCAATTTCAACCCTTTAAAAAGTTAAAAATATTCTTCCATAGAATTTTCTATGTTCAGTCATCTCTCTCTTTGCTGGCCTTCCTTTCTTTCTCTTTCTTTCTTTCTTTTCCCTGCTAGGGATGATAGGAAGGGATGAAGAGAGTTTGTGTTTCTATTATTACATTTAAGAGCACCAGTGATCAGAATTTGCTCATGATTTACTGAGAACTTTTTGTTCCTATAATCTCATTTAATTTTTAGAGTTACTTCGTGAAGGAGATGTTATTTTACAGATGACAGAGGAACTGAGTTTAGAGAACTTGTATGAGGCCACTCAGGCCATAATGGATCTAATCCATATCTTTTGATTCCAAAATTTACAGTCTTTCCACTGCTTAGATCCTAAAAAGAGATAGGATGTAATCTTACAGTGAAACTGCTTGGATGTTGTGGTGACTAATTGAGGTCACTCTCAGTAATCAAAAGTAAAGTTTATCTTGATTGCTTTTTTCAACCTTTGCTTCTCTGCTCTTTTTATCTTCCATTTAGTTGATTCACTGATGCTTGGTACTTCCAAAGAAGAGAAAGAATGAGAAGGGCAAGGTGTAAAATCCAAACATCCTTTAGTTCTCGTGGTTAAACCTTGGCAGAGAGGAATATTCTTATATTGTTTTGGTTTGTTATGATCCATACTGCAAAGTGTGACAAAAATAGCTTGAGTCTCAGAAATTATGACTTACTTGAATAACTTTATGAGAAAAACTCAAAAGCTTAATTTCTTTAAGTATTCCATAATTATTTTTATGGCAATAAATTCTGATTTTTGTAGATTTTTTTCTTTTTGCTTATTGAGATGGAGTCATTCACAGTGATCACTTTTACAAGGGTTAAGACAATTTAATGGTGCAAACTACTTTCTCAAAATAATTTATGTATCAAGCTAAATAGAGATTCCTGACTTTGTTAAATCTCAGAATTGATGGGAATTATCTATTATTTGTCATCAGTGGTAGGATGAGTTTTGTTAGCTGATAATTTTATTTTAAAAAAATCTAAAGGTGTTCAAAGTCTATATACCTTCTGTTCCCTCATGTCATAACACCTATTTGGCTACATTTGTAATTTACTTTCCTGGCCTCTGCGGGATATTAAATTTGTGAACCCCGGTCAAAATTTATCTGTGTAGTCATTGGTGTTACTGTAAATGAGAGTTTAGTAGAAAATGATTTTCTTTAAAATAGTTCATAGTCAGTAGAAATTGAATGATATTTTCTGCTCTTGGTTAAGGCACATTGGTGTCTCACATAGCTGAGGTGTTGGCTTACTCTTGATTACCAGTGATTCCTGTTTGAATCTTTTCTCTGCCTGAGGTAGTTAGACTTTTACATGAAATAAGACATTAGATTCATCATTGGTTTTCAAACATTTTAACATTGTGGAATCCCAAGCCTACTTATGAATAGGATATTAAACAAAGTGGAAAAATAGTACCTAACCACTGGTTGATCATAGCTTCTTTCAAAACAATTTCTAGAAATTACTCACTGAATGAACTATTGATTTCCTTAGAACTTAATGGCAAAATGTGTAGCTTGATTGGCCTCAATTTTTATCTGGACTCTGTGTATCAGTTTCTTCTGATCTTTATTTTGAAATCTGAAATTATGACACAAAACTTCCTATCTCTGTTGGGCTTTAAGAATAAATATATATAATTCTAGAGACAGAGGTTATATTTAAGACCCTTGCAGATAAACATAATAAACATAATTTTATTCATTTATTTCTCAGATGATAATATTGAAAAGGATGAATGTTGCTCAAAAATTATCTGCCAGAAAGATTGGCAAGTTAATAATTATAAGCCTTGCCCTGGCTAGGTATTTCAGTTGGTTGGAGCATTGTCTCCATCTGCCCAGGTTGCAGGTACAATCCCCAGTCATGGCACATAAAAGAATCAAGCAATAAATACTTAAATAAGTGGAACAGCAAATCAATATTTCTCTGTGTGTGTGTGTGTCTCTCTCTCCTTTCTTCTCTCAAATCAATACATAAAAATTAAAAAAAATAATTATAAGCCTCTAAAATTACAAAATTATGAACTGAAAATAGATTATCTTTTATCTCTAATGTGAAGGTAGAGCTAAATTTCTCACTTTTGACTAAGGAGAGTCAATAAATTAGAAGTTAATAAATACTAAAATGGGGTATAAGTGTATTAGAATTATGGTGATAACCACCAGAAAAACCATATGTGGAAATGTTAGATGAAACCATATAAAATTACCAGTTTTGTAGATATAAAACTGTCATATTGGCAATTTCATGGTTTGACCTAGTTAAAGTGGTTATATTTGAGACTTGGACCTAGGGTTAGGGCTAGGGTAGATTACATTTAGTAATATGCTATATAAATGGAATCTTTTTGAAGAAAAGAACATATATTACTTTTACTAAACATGACAAAATACCAATGCTATGTCCGCCAACCCCATGGCCAAAGTAAGATGGTTAATTTTATATCTTAAGTGATAGTAAGGTTAATTAGGTGAAGTCGTCAGAAAATAATTTAACTGGAAGTGTCAGGCTGAGACTTTGCTTTGGTATTATTTTGTGCTTAATCTGACTTTAGCTTAAGTGAATCAAGATATGTTCATTGACTGTCTGTAGTTTTCTGTAAAGGCACTTCTGGATGTTATGATGAATTCACAAAGAAATAGTGATAATATTAGGATAATTAGATGACATAATGGATAGATGGTATAAAGCATGATTGATCACTTACACAGTTCAGGTTTTTCAAAGGATATGGGACTACTTTAGATTGGATTATCTAGGATGTTTTGTTGGTAACATAAGAGTTAAATCAGAAACAAATCTTGGTGGGGAAACATTAACTGTTAAAAGTGTAGAGGCTGGAAAATGTGGTTTATTAATCCTGGATCATGAAAAAATAAAAGAATAGAATAGATGAGGCTAGGAAAGTAGAATGAGGTCATACTGAGGCCCTGTTTGCTAGACCACAGTTTCTTAATCTCAGCGCTATTGACGTTTTGTGTTGGATAATTCTTTGTTGTGGGTGCCTGTCCTGTGTATTGTAGGATGTTCATGAGCATCTCTGTTTTCTCCTTAGTAAATGCCAGTAGCATCTTCTCTACCTAGCACCCTCTAACCCTGGTCCTTTCATGGCAACCATTGTCTCTAGACAATGCCAACTGTTCACTGTGGGACACAATTCTCATAGCTGGAACTAGAGGGTAGTTGTGTTGACTGATTGGCTTTTTTAAAAGAGCTACACAGGGTTTGTCAAAAATAGTCACAGGATGATAACTGAATAACCAATGGAGTGGTGATCTGCCTTTTGTCTATTGTGTATAGTTATAATGCTAATCATTGGTGGGCTCCATCAGTGACCAGAATAATTAAATAATTAGGTTTGCTGAACAAAGATGATTCTTTATGTTGTAAAACTAACCTAAAACTTTGGTTTAAATGATACTGTTTCATTTTTTTGTTTTTGTTTTGTTTTTGGTTTCATTGTTTGATATATATCATGGGGAGAACTTAAGCATTGAATATTGAGAAGTGGTTCTTGAAAGTTGGATTTTTAATTCTATAACTGTAAAAAAAACTCTGTAACTTTCTATAAGTTGAAATAGCTATTGTTTGGAGAGATTTTGATATAGTGTGTGTTTGAGAAAGGTTACCTTGTGTTTAACTCAATAGGAAGTAAGGAATTCAATTTTAAATATTTTTTCTAGTATAAAAATTTTTATTACAGATTTAGAATTCACTGGTCCTTATGCCTAAGATTAGCAATATTTGAAGTGTTTAGATTATTCTTCTAGTCTGTTCTTTTTTCTTTTAAGGGTGTAAGAGTGATAGAACTGGAATCTGGCAGAGTCTTTGTTTGCATTCTTAGTGATAGGAAACTTTGCAGCCTACAAAAATATAGGTAGCCAAGGATTCTTATTTTCTCATTGCCATTATTCCCAAGCTATGCTTGTAACTAAATGTTTTTATCTCCATCTATGAAGTGCATATGTACCAACAAGAAGTGATGACTAATTAGATGAAGTTATTTTTCAGAGATCAACGAAAAATAAAATTTGACATGTTCTTGATGCCTGTGAGTAGAGTGTGGTTAATAAGTTATATTTGGAGAAGGAAGGGTTGGGTAAGCTACCAGGATTTGGATTTGCGGGAGAATCTCAGTTTTCTAATGACATGTTAACACATGTAAAGCATTTAAACCTTTTAAAATTTGCTTTATATTCAGGCATGATTATAAAATAAAAACAATTAAATTTCCCTCTATTTTGAAAAATAAGTAATGGGTTTGTATTGGCAATACCTACCAAAACAAAATTTTAAAATTCTTGATGTTTAGTAAAACTTACTAATAGCAAAGTTGGATTCTTCTCAGTGTTGATCAGGTACCCACATTTGTGCTACAGTTAATCTTACTTTTGTATCTGTTGTTATGCTTTTATTGGTAAAATAATTAGGAGTACTTTTTAGGTACTTCTAAAAAGGCTTCGAGAAGATTAGTCAAGAAGAGTACCCATTCTCCATCTGCTGGCTCTTTTGCAAGATGCTCCGGTTTTCTTTAGTCAGTGTGCACACAGATTCTTTTTTGCCTTAGAAGTGTTTAGTCAACTCTAATTGTTTAATAATAAAATTGTTCTTATTTAAAAATATCTAGGAATTATTACCAGAGGCAGTTTTTCTTGGTAGGTTGGGTTTAATTGCTGTGAGTAGTATTTAAAAAAAAATCAAAATTTTCTTAATGGTTTGTAGGGCTATTGGACTGAAAGAAGTCATTTATTTGTGAGTGATACTGAGCCCACATACTTTCTGAAATCATAGGTGCTAACAAATCCAGAGGTGTTTTCTAAGTGTAACACAAAGTTACTTGATGGGAAAACCTGACTGGTATTGATAGGAGTCTATTTGTAGTGTTTATTTATCATACTCATAAATATTTGTACATTTTACTGCAGAAATTTATGCAAGATTGTTTAGGATGAGAGTGCTTTTTCACAACAGTCCTGAATAAACTATGAGTACCTGCATGACAATCTAGAGATTGACTATGATTTTTATTAGGTCAGTTGACATCTGCTAAATGTTAGTCTTTTTTTTTTTAAGGTGCTTTAACTAGCAGGATATTTTTAAAATCAGCCATTTGTAAAAGACTTCTGAGCTATTTAAGTACCAGGTACTAACCATAGACAACTTCCTTTTATATTTAATGCTCAATTAACAATACACGCTAAGGCTGGTTGAGTTAACAGGAATTAATATGGTGTGGAAACAGACTTTATCATTTATTATCACCCTTTTCTTGGTTATTGGTGGAAAATATTCATCACCCTACAGATTTTACTATCGATGTTGGCAGCGACCTGACTATGACTGGTTTGTTTCTCATTCTCCTTTTTTTCTCCTCCTTTGTCCCTCTCCCCAGATTTTTAGATTTTTATTTATTTGATCAGGCATAAAGATGATTAGGTTTCTGAGTAGTGTTGGGCTAAGAGGGCCTGGGTTGTGCTAGGCAGGAACAGAAGAAACTTGCTAGAAGGCTTATAGTCCTATGTGAATTCGTTAATGTCCTTAGCCTATCTTTTTAGTGACTGCTATGGATGCTCATTTCCAAGACAGCTTAGTTTTTAAAAACTTGATTAATTTCTTCCATTCTAGGGGATATAGCAGTTATCCCCTAGATAACTTTTTGAAAGTTTAGGTGACTCTTTTATTGATATCCTAATAAGTATCCTAATAAACAGGAAAATTGATAACTTCTCTTACAACTTCCATTTTCTGTGCCATTGCTGTTGTCTCTTCTCATCTGTGTACTTGGTGCTTCTAAAATTGATTGCTTATGTTTGGGATGTGACACAAGTTGACACACATAAATATCTTTGTTTAGTTTTGCTGGTAAAGCAGGAAATGATAAAACAAAAGTTTTTGGGGCTAGGACTTTTGTGTCCTGATTGTGACTCACTGCTTGTAAGTCCATGTAGTTTATGAAAGGAAGATACAAGGGAAGAAAACTTTGGTGTGTATTCTGTTATAATTAAATTAAAATAAAAATCAAGTATCCAATTTAAAAAGAATGATATTTACTTTTAGAAAAAATAAATGCCTCTAGGGTACCAGATATAGCATGTGTTATGACAAAACAGTGCTCCTCTTTTTAAAGCATATTTTAATTTAGAATTACATATATTCATCTTCATTAGTACTATATTGAACTAAAATCATTACACCAACTCCATTGATTTATTATTTAATCAGGTTAGTAATGTCTGCCATCCTTTGACTTAAATTTGTTTATATTGTTTTGCAAGTTACTCACAGATTTTGGTGGTTTCATTTGTGTCAGCGTTGTGTGTGTGTGTGTGTATGTATATACATATGTGTGGTTTTTTTTTCTCATATTTTCAACAGATTCTGAAGGGAGTGGTAATGGAAGTGAAGACCCCTCAAAGGACAGTGGAGAAGGTTCCTGTAGTGATTCTGAAGAAAATATTTTAGAGGAAGAACTGAATGAAGATATAAAAGTAAAAGAAGAACAACTTAAAAATTCTACAGAGGAAGAAATACTGTCATCGGAAAAACAGTTAGTTAAAACGGAAAAGAAGGAAGAAGAAGAAAACGGAGAAAGATCTAGAAAGAAAAAGGAAAAAGAAAAGGAAAAAGAAAAGGAGAAAGAAAAAGAGAAAGAGAGGGAGAGAGAAAAGGAGAAAGAAAAAGCAACAGTATCTGACAATGTGGCTGCTTCTGCTGCTGCCACCACGCCAGCCACAAGTCCTCCTGCTGTTAACACATCTCCTTCAGTCCCCACTACAACCACCACCACAGAGGAGCAAGTCAGTGAGCCAAAAAAGTGGAACCTTCGTCGGAATCGACCCCTTTTGGATTTTGTATCCATGGAGGAACTGAATGACATGGATGACTATGACAGTGAAGATGACAATGATTGGCGACCTACTGTAGTAAAGAGAAAGGGAAGATATGCATCTCAGAAAGAAGGAAGTGATGGAGACAATGAGGATGATGAAGATGAGGGAAGCGGGAGTGATGAGGATGAGAATGATGAAGGCAATGATGAAGATCATAGCAGCCCTGCCAGCGAAGGGGGTTGCAAGAAAAAGAAGAGTAAAGTTCTTAGCAGAAACAGTGCTGATGATGAGGAACTGACCAATGATAGCCTGACATTATCTCAAAGCAAGAGTAATGAGGTAGATCAACCCAATTTTTATGATATCTGTCTGTCTGGGGAAAAGGGAATTCTCTAAACCATTCTACTAATTATATTGAGTGGCTTCCTTGAAATCCTATTTATGACATTGTGGGAGTGAAAGAGCGCCCTAACTGTAGCATTTATTCATTTGACCAACCAACCTTTATTGAGTACCTACTGTTAGTCACCGTTCTCAAGGAGCTCACAATCATCGTTCTCAAGGAGCTCACAGTCTATATATTTAGAGGAATATTTTTATATCCATAGACTTGGGAAATGGTAGGGTTTTTCTTTCCCCATTCTATCCTCTCACCCCATTGTTCATAGGACTGAGTGGTGCTAACTGGATTATGAGAAAGGGCACCTTTCTTTCAACTTAGTTATATTCATATCCACATAAAAGATTAGACTTTTAGAATACTTTTGAGCAGGGCAACAAACAGCTTAATGATTGTCTCAGACTTTTAGAGATTCATTTTCAAGGTTAATTTCTTCACCAGTTGTAGCACCATCATCTGAATAGTCACCAAGTCTTTGCTTTAGATGCATTCGAGTAAGTGCAAACTATATGTTTACATGTATTTAGTGAATAAGTTCTCTCCACAAAGAAATGAAAACAAACATTTCTATCATAAAACAAACATTTCTGTCATAAAACTACAGTAATGACTCAGTTCTTCCACTTGAAGTTCTACTACTGAAAGGTTTATCCATTGGGCCCGAGGTTTATCCATTGGGCCCGAGATGCAACATTCAAGACTCTTCAGCCAAACACATTTGTGTCTTTTTGTCTGTGTGTTTATGTATATGTTTTTCTTCAAAAGAAAGATTGAGTTGTCTTCTCACATGTAGATATATGTTACATCACATGTAGAAGTAGAATAATTAAGTCTGTCATTTTGTTAGCATGTTTATAGTCATAAAAATTCACTTTTTCACTTTATCAAGTACTTATTTTTTTGTTTTTTTCTTCATACCATTGCAATAGGTTAAACTGATAGAAAATTTTTCCTTTTATGCTTTATTAGTTTTTTTACATTCTGCTTACAAATTTTATATAGCAGTGATTATCCATCTTAACTAAGTTTTATTTAAAAATTTGGTGATTTCCTTAATCAAATAATATAGACAGCAGTCTATGAGGGGTTATATGTTAGTAGAGATGAAACAAGGGTTTATATTTTAGATTATAAACATTTTTTTAACTTCTAGTTTGCCCACTTTCATATGAAGAATGTTGCTTGCCTCCACTGCTCTCCTAATTCTTATCTTTAGGTAAAGAAAAATTGTCATTTGGAATATAATATAGTACTTATAATGATATAGCACAAGCAATTCCATATTCTCAATACCAATTTATGGAAATAGAAGTATGGAAAATCTAGTTGTTCTTATTTGATTTTTAGGCATGTATCCAGTTTATTTTATAGCACTTAGTATTACATTTGCATTTACCAAATAATTTTCCCTTTGGCAGCATCACCTCCTTACTTCATTTTTATCAGCCTGACTTTCACAAAAGCAGGCTGGCTGATGATAGAGCCAGGGTGGATTTGAATTACGCTAAGGTATGGGGAACACCTTCATATGTTTAGAAATTTGCCACATAAAATCTGTACATTACCTATTTGTTAATAATCCATAATACATAATTATTGCTTAAGAGATTGTAGACTATTTTTATGATGCATTTAAAGGCCACATGCTCTGTTTAGTTTTTCCTACCAGAAGAGACTTGAGTAAATAATGGTACTTGATATATTTAGGTTAACAGTCCCAAAGGAATGTGATTCCAGAGCATTTCTTGGAAAAGTGCCTTGTTTCTTCTTACTTAGCTAAATCAATTTCTCTTCTGTTATTTTATGTTAATTTTTCTTTTGCTTTACACTATGTAGAAATGTTGAAGAACTTATCAAAAGTTAATTTTCCCTGAATAATATTCTACCTGAATGTTTGATAACTGTTTTCCCCTCAAGACTATTATTGAAATTCTTCAATTTTTAAAACTTTAGTTCTATTTAAATGTTACTCAAATTAGATATTAAATGTTAATAAAAACTAGTCAATTTGACAAATTAGATATTAAATTTTAATAAAAAATGAATTGAGGTTATTATTTAATCTTATATTTTTAAATTTTCTATTCATATGATCTTGGCTTTGTAAAAAGAGGACTAAAGGTAATCCCTGTTGCTTTAGAGCTAATGTTTATATCGTCCTGGCTGTTATAGGTAGTTATACCTTGCCAAGTGTCCATTAGTCAATCTGTATATATTTGAAGTATTGTTTTCCTTTAAGTTTTGCTTTTACTTTAAGTTTTCAAATCCTACTTGGTAGTAGAGATAGCTAAAATGTGGCTTTAGCAGTACATAATAAAATTCTATTTAGTTTATAAGCAAGTACATTTTTTCTTGGCTGTTATGTCAAGTACTTTGTAGGGAAATGATGTTGGATGTTACATAAATGACGCCCAGGAACTTTTGTAATTCTGAAGTTTCTTAGGAGAATTGGATATTTTTTTGAGCAGAGGCCTTTTATAACTATCAGCTCTTAATGGCCTTAACATATTTATCTATGCTGTAGACCTTAAAATATTCTAGAGCAGGGGTTCTCAAACATTTTGTTCTCAGGACATCCTTACACTTTTAAAAGTTACTAAGGATCCAGCCCTAGCCAGGTGGCTCAGTTGGTCAGAGCAGCGTTCCGTGCGCCACAAAGGTTACAAGTTTGATTTCCATTCAGGGCACATAACTAGGTTGCAGGTTTAATCCCCATTTGGGGCTTGTATGGGAGGCAAACAATACCTGTTTTTCTTCCTCTCTCTTTCTTCATTTCTCTCTAAAAATCAATAAACATATCCTCAACTGAGGTTTAAAAAAAATATCGAGATCCCAGTTATATTATGTAGGCTAAATATCAATATTTACCATTTCAAATTAAAACTCTGAAACTTCAAAAATTTGGGCATATGGAGGCATATAAGTTGGCAGATCAATAATGCCATCGCATGTCCTGTAGCTTGTAAAAAACTTTACCTTATACCCATGATAGAGAGAGAAAAAGGCAAATAACCTTAGTATTAGGATGAAAATATCCTTTACTTTGTAGACCTCCCTAAAGGAGAGTTCCCAGACCATATCTTGAGAAGTACTGTTTTAGAATTGAGCATTTTCTGCATATGAGCACTTGGTTTTGTCAATGGTATCATGGCATTTTTGAATCTGGTGCATTTTGCACAATCCTTTCAGAATATGGTTATGTGTCCTTTCAAACTTTTATCTTGAAGCTTTGAGATTCACTAAGGTTATCTTGCCTTTTAGTTTCCTGAAGTAGAAGTAGATTTTTTGGGGAGCGCTGTGTAGTGTTTTCAGAGACTACACATTTCAGGATGTTCCCATTTTCAGGACTTTAAAACTAGAGCTTTGAATTAATATATGACAAAAAGTCATTATAATAGCAATTTTCAGATGGAAGTTTTTTTTTTAAATAAAAGACTCAGTTATATTAAATGGATATTAGTTTCTTCTGATGTGAAGAAATGGCAGTTGTCAACTGATTTGCTAGTTAAAATGTACAAATTTGGCTGAAATTTGTAAATAGCCACTGTGTTTAGGGTTTCTTATTTACAAATCAACTGCCTTTTCACATATTTCAAAATAAAACAGATTTCTCTTAAGTCCAAAAAAATCAATGTATAACACTGTACAAAAATTACTTGAGATTCTTAAGAATTTAAACTTCTCTAAAAATGTAGAGAAAGAACTATGGGTCAAATATCTTGGTATACTAATTTTTTTCCTCTTCTTTGGGTCAATAGATTTCTTCAATTCTGGTTTTACATGAAGTGTGCTGGAATTTCCTTCTATTAAAAATACATTTAACTTAGAATTTTCCCTGTTGTGTACATTATTTATAATTATCTATGGGGCATACACGCATAAATGAACACTAAACATGTTTTAGGGCCATGAAACCTGAGACCATTGGCCAATAATATCATTTTTGGTATAAATTTAAATCCCAAGGGAAAAATGAGATAATTTACTATACTGAATCTATTGTAGTGTCCCATTCATAATCACCATAGATTTATTTAAATTATTCCATAATAGTAAAGTTATATTCTAGGTGGTAACTCTTGTGCCATTCAAAACTGACTTTCCCAATTTCTATTTTTATGTAAAATACTATTTTCAAGTGATATATGGTAGTGAAAATATTAACTGTTTTCTCCAGAAACTTAGAATAGTACAGCTTTAGAAATATGCTAATAAAAATTGATACTAAATTGGCCTTTATATTCTGATTATAAGGGTGCTTAAACACATTCTTGATCTATTAAAGACACTTAGAGCATAGTTTTTTAAGAGAATGTGTCATTTAGCTTATCCCCCTGAAGCACAGCCTGTCAACCATTGGATTGGGTAGTATTACATTTCCAATAAGAGTTTCTAGTGATGGGGAACAGAGAGCCAAAGATAACCAGTTATATCTGTTTTCTCTGCCTCTCAATGGTAATATATATAGAAGCTGGTACAGATATAATATAGCTACTTACTATGGGGTGTTTTTTTTTTTTGAGCAAATTAGAAAAATCACTAAGTAATAGAATTAGAGCTACCAGTTGATGTCAGTTTTTCTGATGCTTAGAAATTTACTTGTTTCCCACATGGATAAACCTATTTCAAGGGGCTCTTTGTTATAATTCCCCAGAGAAATATTGTCAAAGCCTATAAACATGAGTATCAAACTCTGGTTGTTTGTTAGGTCTTTTCCTAGTCTGTGATTTTTTTTTTTTTAAACTTAGATGTAATACTCAAAGAAGAATGTCTTTTTGGAATTAACCATGGGAAAAAGTTACAATAACTATGTCTATGTCCATTGAGGCTTATAAATTTTCTTTTGGGGTTCCAAGGCAGATTCCCCAGTGTAATAAATGGTCCGCTCATGCTTCTCTTTTGAGCCACCTACAAGAAGTACAGAGGAATGGGAATGAATCTTTGCTGAGTGCTTAGTATGTCTCAGAAACTCTTTTTTTTTTTTTTTTAAGATTTTATTTATTTACTTTTAGAGAGAGGGGAAGGGAGGAAGAGAAACATCAATTGTGAGACACACATCAATTGGTTGGTTGCTTTTGCCATGCCCCCAACTAGGGACCTGGATGGCAACCCAGGCATATGCCCTGACTAGGAATTGAACCGGTGACCTTTCAGTGTGCAGGTTGGCACTCAATCCACTCAGCCACACCAGCCAGGGCCCAGGAACATTTTTACATACATTCTGTTGTTAATTCCCACAACAACCCCAAGAGGTAGATATATTTTTATCATCCCTTTTTATAGATGAGAAAACTGCAGCTTCAAGTTTCTACAGTCATTACATGAGAGATGAGAATGAAACCAAAGCACTTTTGACTCTAAATCAAATGCTGTTACATTTGAAATATGGCTAATGGGATGAAAACCTGGGCAGATTTTTGTTTTGCTAACTGTACCAAAGTATTGTGAAACATATGTTTTCTTTTTAGGAAGTTTTTACCTTTATTTGCTTGCCATGTCTAAAGCCCTGAAACAACTTTGCTTTTATAACAAAAGGAAGCAAAGTATAAAATTTAAAGTACTAGAATTCTCAAGGGAAATGTCATACCTCCTTGTTGACTTTTGCATTCTTTTGATTTATTTTACAAATCAACTGAAAGATTAGATGTATTAAACAGAAATATATTGAAAGTGTCATTGTGACATCCAAGTGTCATTCAAATGTCATAAATTGCTATTTTTACCTTACAATATTGGTCAGCGTAAAAGAATACAAAAATATAAAAAAATGAATATGAATATATTTAGTGAATATACAATGTGGAACTAACTTATTAATTTTATTTCTGAATATGGTTAGGTTCTTAAATGAAAATATACAGACTCAAGTGCCAACTTTTATATGTAATACAAATCCCAATCTGTTATATATGACAAAAATCATTGTCTTGTTAACTTATCCTTTAAAGTTTAAATCCATAATGCAGAAGGTTTAAATGAAAAGGAGCAAACTTCCCCTGAAGTTTTATCTTTTTATACTTACCTATTCATCTTTCTTTCTCCTATATTACAATTACCTTGGTGTCTTTACTACCAATTTACACTAGATATTTCTTGACATAAACCCAGTAGAGTGCTCTGACTTCTAGCGACTGGTCGCCCTGGATCCTTTTCTGGATGGTTATCTGTAGCTGTATACACAGATAGACCTAGGTAGGTGCTCATGTAGCTGTCATACAGTAGGTGGATGACCCTGAAACCTCTGAATTCCCCTTATACACTTGAGGATTACAGAGTCTGTAGCTCTGCCATCACAGACATAATTTCTTATATGTTATCCTGAATTGATTTATTCTTGTGTAATATATGTGTGTCTTGTCTTCCCTAGGGAGGATTATAAATTTCCAAAGAGTAGGAGCCTAATGTTTTATATCTTTTAAACCAATGCATAGGATTAATAATTACTTATGAGTTAATTTTTCCTTTTTCCTATTTTAAAAGGTGGGACTATAATTTAGACTGGCAAAACAGATGTAGAGTTGTTAGTTGCATGTTTGCTTTGTCATTTCCTAGAGAAGAGGGTATGTGGGACTTGCAGAGAAGTGAAAAACTGGAGGGCGCTTCTAGGTCCTTGACAAAGAGGCGTACTTGTCAAATGTAGCACACTCTGAAATTACTAAAAGGATGGAGAATGCAGTGTAATTTTGAAAATGCATAAAATAATTTAAAGTGAGAATTTTATTTGTTAAAATTACCTTTTAAATATGTGATTTTCTGGTATATTTTAATATTAGGACTCGCTGATTCTTGAGAAGAGTCAAAACTGGAGTTCTCAAAAAATGGACCATATTCTGATTTGCTGTGTTTGTCTTGGAGATAATAGTGAAGATGCTGATGAAATAATTCAGTGTGACAATTGTGGCATTACAGTCCATGAAGGTAATTTTGCTTTGTCTTTTTCTCCTTTTAGAAATGGCTGATTAAAACTGCATTTAAAAAAGTAAAATCAACTCCTTTCCATTTGTACTATTTTACGATTTTTCTATATTACTTTTTTGAATTATTATTATTGTTTAAGCTGTTATAGTCGTTCCTACTATTCTCCCCTTCCCCTCCCTCTCCCAGCCCTACCCTCTTCCCCCCCTGAGGCAGTCCCCACTTTGTTGTCCATGTCCTCGGACTATGCATAGATGCTCTTTGGTTAATCCCTTCACTATCTTTGATTACGTTCCCACACCTTTTCATCAGTGGTCAGTCTGTTCTATGTATCTAAGCTTCTGTTACTATCTTGTTCATTAGTTTGTATTCATCAGATTCCACACATAAGTGAGATTGTGTGGTATTTTTTCTTTCACTGACTCTTAATTCACTTAGCATGATTTTCTCCAGGTCCATCCATACTGCTGCAAAATGCAAGTTTCTTCTTTATTACTGCTGCATGGTATTCCACTGTGTAAATGTGCCACTGCTTTTTTATCCAACTCATCCACTGCACTGATGGACACTTAGGCTGTTTACAGATCTTGGGTATTATAAATAGCACTGCTTTAAACATAGGGGTGCATGTGTTTTTTTGTATTGGTGTTTTGGGATCTTTGGGGTATAGTCCCAGAAGTGGAATCACTGGGTCAAAAGGGAGTTCATCTTTAATTGTTAAAGGATACTCCATATTGTTTTCCACAATGGCTGCACCAGTCCGCATCCCCACCGACAGTGCACTCATGTTTCCATTGATGTAAGACATACTGAGTCCTTAAAGTATGATGGGTGTTATTTTTCAGATTATGTTAACTTTAAATGTGTTTTTTAAATTTTTAATTTAATTATTGGGATGATACTGGTTGCTATGATTATGTAAGCTTCAGGTGTATAATATTGTAATACATCCTCTGTATTTTGTGTGTTCATCATGCAAAGTGTAGTCTCCTTCTGTCACCATATACTTGACCTTCTTTACCTTCTACAACCTCCCCTCTTAATTCTAAATGTATTTTTAAATAATTAAAATAGAAATCTTATTATGTGGAAGCCACAGTATTTCTTGATGGTCAGTGTTATATTTTTTCTTCATGGCATTATTTATTTCTAGTTTTTAAATGAAATTTAGGTGTAGAAAAAGTCAATATATTAGTCCAGTAGAATGTATTACAGTATTTAAAAAGCTACATTCTAAGTCTAGTGATGTTATATACTTCTTTCATAATTATTTTAAATTTTGAACTTTATAGGAGAATATATAGAAGTCATCTTTTAAAATCTGAAATAGGAGTCACTGTAATACATTGAAAGTATTTTTCCTGATTGTAATTTTCAAACATTTTTTATTTTTATTTTTCACTTAAAATTTTTATTTAATTTCTGAATTACAGAAAAGTTGTAAGAGTAATACAAAGAAGTCCCATATTTTTTTATTCATATATCACAGATGGTAACATTTTGCTATATTTGTTTTATTTATTCACTCATATAACAGTATTTTTCTTGTCCTCTGTGAGAATAAACTGTAGGTATAATGCCTCCGCTATCCCTAAATACCTGTATTTCTTAAGAAAAAGGGCATTCTATTATATACTGGTAACTACATAATTATCAAAGTCAGCAAATTAACACCAATAGAATACTATTATCTAACTTCACCCATTATCCCAATAATGTCAATTCTAGCAAAATGAAATCTAGAATCATTGATTACATCAGTTCTCTTGTCTATTTAGTCACTATATCTAGAAAATATCCTGAGCCTTTGGTATTTTGCCATTGGTATTTTTGAAGAATACAGGCCAATTATTTTATAGAATTTCCTTAATATGTTTTTTTTTAAATGTTTTTCCATGATTAGATTCAGGTTATGTGCTTTAGGCAGGAATATCACAGAAGTGTCATTGTATTCTCAGTGGATCATATTAGAAAGCATATAATGTTTATTTGTCCAGTTACTGCTGATGTTATTTTGATTACTTGGTTGAGAAGGTATCTTCAAGGCTTCCCTGTGGTAAAATTTTATTTTTTTCTGTCAGTTAACTTTTTTCCTTTCAAACTTCTTTTTAATTTATTGGTTAATTTTAGACATAGGAAGGGAGAGAGAGAGCTATCGATTTGTTGTTCCACTTATTTATACATTCATTGGTTGATTCTTATATGTGCCCTGACCAGGGATCAAACCCACAACCTTGGTGTTTTGGCACAATGCTTTAACCAAATGAGCTACCTGGCCAGGGCAGTTAATTTTTTTTCTATCATGGCCATGACTGCCATAAAACAGTGTTTCTCTGGCCTTGCCTTTGCCTGCCCTTCTAGTATTAGTACTCCTCCCAGCTGATTCTGGGAATCTGCTGGACCTGCGGGACCTTGGGGACCTGTGGGGCCTATGCTGTTGAACCCATCCTCTTGCCTTCATATGAAGTCACCCTCTCTTGCTGTTAAGGCTCACTGCGGGAATGTCTCCTCTTTCTATTGCCCATTCATTTATTTTTTTTCAGTAATGTTTTTTGAGTACCTTACATGTACTGGGCATTCTGTAGCTTTTACACATGTAAAATAAACAGAATGTAGAAGTTGCTGCCTTTCATGGAGCTTAATGTTTTGTTGAGAGAGACAGTCAATGAAAAAAATGAAATAATAAATAAATATATTTCAGGTGATGATCTGGACAATGGGGAAAAATAAACCAGGACAAGGATTGCTGGGAATTCTATGGGTGCAGGGGGTTGAGTGGATAGGTAGAAGTTCGTATTTATAAAAGGTGACAAAGAAAACTGTCTGATAAGGTGATATTTGAGCAGTGACCTGAAGGATGTAAGGGAGAAGCCATATGAATATTGGGTAAAGAGCCCTCTAGGAAGAGGGAGTAGCGAGTGTAAAGATCCTGAAATAGAAACATACTTGGAGTGCTTGCGTAATGGCACAGAGATTGGGTATGGCTAGAACTGAGTGAGTGAGCTGCTTCGTGGTGGGACAGAGACTGGGACAAACCGGGTGAGGCCTTGTAGAGAATAGTACTGATTTTAGATTTTACTGTGATGGGTGTAGGAAGACATTCATGAGTTTTGATCAAGGATTAATCTGATTTGATTTATATTTTGAAAGGATCACTCTGGCTGTGGGGTTAAGAGTAGATGGAGGTGGTCTAACTGGGCCTAAGGTGGGATTTAGGGAGATGGTTTAGGGAGACCATTGCAGTGATCCAAGAGAGGAATAGGTTTTGAGGAAGATAGTGTAAGTATGGTTTTAAACTCTCTGGGCATGGTAAGATGTTGGGACTAGGGATATAAACTTGGGGCTAACCAGCCTGCAGATGAGCCACTGAAGAAAAAGGCACATCATGCCAGTTTTGGTAGGTGGCAGTTTTAATAAACAAAGGGACTTAGGAGGCTTGTTGTGGGCAGCACAAGGCAAGTAGTTTTCTGCACCCACTGGCCAGAATCTTAAAAGTTTATATTGCAGCCTTGCCCTGGCCAGTGTGGCTCAGTTGGTTGGAGCTGTGTACCATAGACCAGCGGGTCGTGGGTTTGATTCCTGGTTAGATTAGGGCTCAGACCCACGTTGCCAGTCTGGGGAGGGCACAAGAATGCAGTAGGTCAATGCTTCTCTCTCACATCGATGTTTGTCTGTCTGTCTCTCTTTCTTTCTCTCTCTCCCCCTTTCTCTCTCTTTAAAAGCAATGAAAAGATGTCCTGAATGAGGATAAAAAAAAATTACACCGAAGTCTTACCTGGGGTCAGCCACGTACACAGGAGGCCTTCACAGAGTTCAGTCCCATACCATGTCCAGAGAGCCTCATCAGCGTATTTCTATATCAAGTCTAAGTGCTCTGGCGATTTCTGGCGCAGGGAAACACACAATTCCAAGTACAGGGGAGGGAGTCGGAAGCCTTCAGCCGCCCAGGCCCACTTCCCATATCAACTGATGATGACCTTCCCCAACAGGCTGTTGCATTTTATTTTGTTACTTACTATACATTTCCTTTGTCACTTTAAAATAGGCTTTGTCTTTTTCTCATTGGCTTATCCTTTGCTTGTTGTGTATGTAACAGTTATTTTCTATCCTTACAAATATTTTTTCCACCCTCTCCTGTACCTTTTCACTTTGTGGTACGTTTCACTGTGTAGAATGTTCTATTTTGTAGTCACATTTGTAGATTTTTCTCTACTGCTTTTTAAGAACTTAAATGAATTTTCATCTAAAATTAATCAAGAGAAAGGGAAATTTTCTAAAGGATAATAGGAAGCTAGTGTTACTAAGGTTTGTTTGCTTTTTGAAAATTCAGGTGCCTAAATGACAGATTTCCATATTGTAATCCAGCCATGGAACTTTCCATTAAACATCTCATGGTTAAACATGAACTAATTGAATGCTTTATTTTAGAGAGAAACTGTTTGCTAATCAGAGTATAATACATGAACATTAAATAAGTTGTGGGAAATAGAGAACAGAGAGAAGGGAAAAAAAATCATTTCTAATAGTCCTAATAGCTAGACAACCATAGTTAGCATTTTGGTGTATTTATCTTTTTTCCTCTTCCTCCTTTTCTTCCTCCTCCTTCTTTTAAAGCATACTCCTTAAGTAATTATAATTGAGATACTTTAAAGTTGAGGTTCTGCTAAAAGATAGTACTCCAAATGTATTTTTAAATGTATGATTGTCTAATTAGTTTTCAGAGGACTCATTTCATCTAAATGTTGATAAATTTCTTTTCTTTTTGAAATTGAAAGGTTCCAAACTGTCACTTAGTATAAACACCTTTGTGACAAGGTCTTATAACTGACTTGTAATACTAGGGTACCCCTGACTGTGATGTCAGTTTTCATGATACACTGATTGCACCGTGTCTGAAGAAGAATGTCAGGTATGTGTCACAGTGCAAGACAAAGAATTAGGTACTGCACTTGCCAGCAATTGTCCTAAAGTTGAGTTGCTATGCAGTAAATCAGATCAGGTCAGGTCTACTAAGATGTGTTTTCCGCCAATTTGTTTATTTTTCATTCTGCTTTTAGTCTAGTCCTACACCATTTCTATTTCTTAATGTATGCAAATATATATCTGCATGAGTGTTTACTAGGTAGTAAAATTTTGTTCAATTCATAACCATTTGAGCTTACAAGTCAAAAGATACTTTGGTTCTTAGGTGCTTTAGGATGTATTTCTGACAGGTATCATGTATAAGGTCTTCTCTCACTTTAAAATCTTTTAGTGGATATTGTAATCAAAGGTTTAGTGACAGGTTTAAGTTTTTAAATGGCAACTTTTCTGTTTCTTTTTTTTGCCTTTCTGTACTGAGAGATAATTAGGATGGATATAATTAAGCACATACTGCTGATGAGGTAATTCTGCCTCAGAGATGCTGTTTGTCCAGGTATATAGCTACAATATAGAAGACTGCAGGTCTATTAGTCTCTTGTGACAAATTGAATGGGGAAAATTTCCACTTATTTGAACTATCCATACCTTTGTGTAATTAAAAACAAATTTAAACGCATTTTGTATTACTTTTCTTTAACTATGATTTGTTTAGGTTGCATGCGTTATTTAAAGGTTGATCCTAATTAGCCTTAGAAACATTTTCTATGTTTTACTCACTTGAAAACCTGATTAATCCATCTGAAATGGATTTTATGTTCATACATTTTTTATTTTATGTTTACCCATATTTTAATATAAAACTTTTTTTCTTAATCATATTGAAGATGCACTATTTGCATATTCAACTCAGAGTTAAAAAAGAGAATAAACCTTGTTTTGTGGTAGCTTAAATTCTGTTTTGCATGGAAGAAAGAAAAAAATGATTTAAAAATGTATTTAGTTGCTAATTAAAATAGATTAGAGTGGATATCCAGAGCTATAACTTTGGTCTAGAGCTGAGTAAACCCAACAGGTGTAGCAAAAAAAATATGGGAAAAATCGGCAGGTGGTGGGCAAGGAAAGAACTTTGTGAAGGTGATTACACTGTGTGGGCTCTTTCTCAGGGGCGGTAGAGCTGAAGAAGAAGTATGTGCCCACTTGCTGGTTGTTCTTTGAGCTTGCATGATACCGGTCTTCCAGCTTACAGGTAGAAATTTTCTAGGAGAGGATCTTAGAAATCATTCCAGAGGTTGTTCCTAGGTGGTTAAGTCTCAGTGCAAATGTTTGCTCTGTGTGTAGTACATCTTAAAAAACCAAAAACAAAAAAACAATTGAAATGTTGCTTTATTCTAAAAAAAGTGAACTTCTGTGATTTACCTTGATTTTGGTAAATGAAAAGAATAAAATGGATAGCTCCTTCAGGGCTTTATTATTTGCATGACTACAAATGAAAGAATTTTCTTCAAAGGGAACATTATTTTGTAAAGAAAAAATTTTTTCCGTGTACTATTGCATACCCCTTTGAGAAAGCAAGGTGACTATTTTTTGTTTTATGATTTTTCTTTAAATACAATATTTTGCTTTGGGGACAATCAATAACTGCTCCAAGAAGGAAACTGTTACTTCCTTTTACTTTTATGATCTACCGGTGATGAAGATGATGATTACCTACAATTTAATGATGTTAAAGAAATTAATGGATTTTGATTACCTTGCTTATCTTGTATTCTGTAGTCTAGTTTCTTTAAAATCTTTTCTTTGGCATTCTTTTATATGACTTTTACATTATGTTAAGTTTCACTACTATAAAGCCATGGAATAGCTTAAGGATGACAATAATTTTTGGATTTTTTTTGAGGCAGCTTATATAAATGATAGCTGCAAATCAACTTTTAGTTTTGCCTACTAGATTGTTTTAATTATAGCCTGTATTGAATGGTAGTAATGTATAAATAAAATACTTATACATGACTCTTGACATATTAATAACATCTAGTAAATTAATGTTATTTAAAAAATTATTTACTACTTATATGTCATTTTTTTCTTTCTGAGTGATTGTTTTATGTACTTGATGTGAATAAAGTACATAAGACTTATGTACTTTAATTTGGGTATCTTTGGTGGTTGTAAGGAGGCACTCCAATGTAGGTTCTTTTTGTCTACTAAGTGTATAGCCATGTCAAATAATCACATGACCTTACAGTGGACATGTAAACTAACCTAAGTAGTGAAGCCTTTTGAGAGATGATAATTATATGTTTCTCATAGTGATTTTTCTAATGTCTTCACTTTATGGGAGGTTACCCTGGGTGCCCTTTAGACTTCGTCACTAAGACCACCTTGCTAGAATCAACCAGGTGGAAAGAGTCTTGGGAAAGTTCACACTTGGCTCTCTGTAGAAGCGACATATCTTGAGAGGTCATAAATGTGTCTTAGGAGATGAGAAAAAATGCTCAGGCCTAAAAATGACAAAGGCATACATCTGAACTAGAATTAAGTTGTAATCTATTGCACTACTGTATGTGGAATAAATTGTTTCTCTGAAGGATGTTTTAATATGAGGGCCACGTCTTCTTTTACAGAAGAAGAGAAATTGGATTATATAAAGTTGGTGTGTGTCAAGCACCATTTAGGAAAAATAAAATTATTTAGGAGTCACTATGGTATCACAAGAAAAATGGCATTTGTTGTAACCCATCACTAGTACAGTGTAGTTTTTTATAGCTTGGGTGAAATTATCTCTCAACTTTTCAATTTCCCTTTATTGGATTCTATGATTTTCAGTCTTCTGATGGTGCCAATACATTCTTCTTGGTATCTTTATACTGAGAAAGAATTATTCATACTGGATGTGACATCACTTTCTAGTGAGTTAGGTTGGTTTGTTGGATACTGAGAGCCTCTTCAACACTGAGTTTGTAGACACAATTGAGTTTTTGGAATTTTAATGATGAGAACCTGATCTTAACAAGATGTTGACAGTGAGGTCCTACCTGAATTTCCTGTTGGCTTACAGCTTTGAAGGTAGATCTAATCTACCTTCTTTAAACCTCAAAATCAGGGAAAATATTTTTGATTTTATACAAATTTTAGACAGATTTGGAAACCCAAATAATAACTTTAAATATTATTTATAATCCCAGACAAGCATTTTTTAGTTAATAAAGAAATTTTTTGCTTTTGAGAATTGGAAGGTAGTTGAAGAATAACATGTCCTACTTTAAAATGTAAAGAACTATGCTAAATAATGTTTATTTGATATGTTCATGAGTTATCTTTAAATATTTTTATCACATTAACTACTATCAGAATACAAGTTATTAGTGTATGAGAAGAGGAATGTTTTCATTCATTTCAGTTATGAATACATTTTTACAGAAGATTGAATTAAAAATGTTTTTAAAAAAAAACCCTTTTAGCTAAAGGTGGCTCATTTGTGAATGGAACTCAGCTTGTCTAACTCTAGTATGAACTGTTCAAACGTTTTATTGCCTTTCTTTTCCTTTAACTAATACTTACTTTGCTGTTGCGGTTCGATGACTTTGTGTTTTAATCTGCCACCTCCAAAAATAGATCAGAGACTTTTTTGTTTGTATGTTTGTTTTGCATGAAAAGTGGTTGTATATGGATGTGTGCATGTGTGTATTTATTTATTTTAGTGTCCAGTACAAAGGACAAAAGGAACTCAAAAAATACTTAGTAATCAACAGTTTCTAGACTCAGTCTGATTTTTTTTAAGTGAAAATTCATATTTAAGTATTTTTAAATTAAAAAAAGTTTTAAAGAACTGTACATTTTTCCCCTCCTGCAATGATTTTTCCATAGGTCTAAAACTATTTTAAAAAGTTGTTTATTTTATGGCATATACTATAGTAGGTAAAAAGTACTTTTTATAAAATGATTTATCTTTGTGTTTTGACTTTCATATTATTATTATAAACAATTTTTTAGAATTTTTTCCTGTTTTCTTCCTTCTCCTTTTGTGATTTTATAAATTTAAGTTTAAAAAACAAGTTATTTAATCATACTTTTTCTTTTTTCCTAGGTTGCTATGGAGTTGATGGAGAGAGTGACTCTATTATGAGTTCAGCTTCTGAAAACTCCACTGAACCTTGGTTTTGTGATGCATGTAAATGTGGTGTTTCCCCTAGCTGTGAACTGTGTCCTAATCAGGATGGAATTTTCAAGGAGACAGATGCTGGAAGGTCGATGTCATAATTCTGTTGGGTTAACATGCCTGCTTTATAATGTGTCTGCTTTTGAATACTTTATTCTTTTACTCTGATTTTCTGAGTTGCACTCTTTCGTTTTATTGCATTTTTGTATCTTCTCGGCATAGAGTAAACGAACAGTAGACTAAAGGTCAGAGTGGCAAGGAGGAAAGACCATTTATTGAGCGCCTACATGCATCTTTATACCCAGCATCCTATTTAATCCTATTATTAGCCCTACAATGATACAGGTTATAAAGTTTCTGATTTTATAGGTCTAGTATCTGAGGCTCAGATCATTTAAGTAATTTTAATTTTCTCAAAACCACGAGCTAGTGAACAATCAAGTTTGAACCCATATCTTCATTGATTGATTGATTGATTTTAGAGAACGAGAGGAAGAGGGGTGGAGAGAGAGAGAAACATTGATTTGTTGTTTCACTTATTTATGCATTCACTGGTTTATTCTTGTATGTTCCCTGACTGGGGATCAAACCCTTAACCTTGGTATATTGAGAGGATGCTCTAACCAAATGGGAACTTCCTGGCCAGGGATGAACCCATATCTTTTTGTCTCCAAGAATATATCAGGGGACAGAACCCATGTGGTGAATTAAAAGGGGAAGCTTAAATTAAAGGATTATTAAGCTATGGTAAAAAGTAACTATAAGATATAAAAGAACTCCAAAAGACTAGAAGGATAACCCCTTCTCCCAGGCATCCCTTAGCTCAGACCTTGCTGGAGAAGGGGTAGTTGTAGCCCACTGGATGGCAGGCAAGTTTGCTGCTTTGCCTTGGCCAGAACTGATCTGTGGTTCTTGGCAAGTGCAGATGACTGAGCACAGGTGGCAGAGGGACTCAGGGCCCTATATGTGGTGTCTGTGTTGTGCAGGCCACAGAAAAGTGGTCTCTAGGCTAGGCCTGCAAGGTCACTGAGGGACGATGCATGTGGCTAGGGCAAGGCTGTGGCAGATGTCCTCCTCCTGTCCTCTGTCCCTGCTGAGAAGCCCTTTCCTCCTGCAATGTCCTCCACCGCTCTAAGGAAGTTTAACGTCATGCTCACTGTAAAGCAGAAATGCTTGCTTTAGGGCTTCTATCCATTATTGCAGATTAGATATGGAAAGGTGGATTTGGAGCTTAGAGGCAGTAAATTTTTAAGTAGCACAGAGACCTCTATGTTTGTTCGCTATTATATTCACAGTCACCTGTATTATCTCATTGAAACAGTTGTCATCAGAATAGTGTGATATCTTTCCTGTTTTTCTTAGGAGACTACCATCTGAGATGGATGACAGAAATGTAGGGTAGTTGCTAACATTTTGTATTTTGTGGATTACCACCCACACCATCTCTCACCCTCACCCCTCCTTATAAGAGGGGCACTCAATATTTTATTTTACCATATAAAGATATTTCAGTATTTTTATGAAACTTGTTTAAGATTTTAACAAGAACAAAACAACCTATATAAATGATCACCATCATTTTTCATATTTTAGCATTGGAAAAGATAGGATGCATTCTGTTCTGAAATAAAGGATAGGATTTAAAGTTTAATAAATGTTACTTTAGTAAAGTAAAAAAAATATTTTCCTTACTTTTCTCATTTTTGCCTCAATTAGTACGCAGGCCCTTGAGAGATGTTGCCATATAAAACTGTTGGGATATGCTCTACTGTGAACTCTTAGAGAACCCTGTGTGTTGATTTCTAGGAAAAAAAAATGGCTAAACTTCTTACCTCTGCTTTCTCATTTTTGATCCAAAAAAATGAAATAAGTATATGACCAACAGTTTGATGCATTGATGTGAATCTGTGGTCTATATCATAGACATGGGCATGTTGGACTGACTTTGGCCTGGACTTAGGGAGTTTAGTATAGCATTTCAAGTGTGTGCTTTCAAGATGGACTACCTATATTTATATTTCTTAGTAACTGTGATTTTAGTCAAGCGATTTAACCTCTTTATGCCTCAGTTTCCTTACTACTTTGGAGAAGATTAAATTAGACGTTTTTTTTTTTTTTTTTTTTTAATCTTTAGAGAGAGGGGAAGGGAGGGAGAAAGAGAGGGAGAGAAACATCAGTGTGTGGTTGCCTCTCTCATGCCCCTATTGGGGACCTGGCTTCCATCCCAGGCATATGCCCCGACTGGGAATTGAACCAGCGACTTTTTGGTTCACAGGCCGGCACTCAATCCACTGAGCCACACCAGCTGGGGCTAAGTGAGATGATTCTTATAAAATAATTATACAGTTCCTGGAACATAATGGTGCTCACTGAATGTCTTCTTAGTTCAGCTGCTGCTGCTGCCACCACTGTTACTACTGCTACTACTAGTGCTTTCTTTCCTTTTTTTTTTTTTTAAGATTTTATTTATTTATTTTTGAGAGAGGAGAAGGGAGGGAGAAAGAGAGGGAGAGAAAAGTCAATGTGTGAGAGGTACATCTATTGGTTACCTCTCACATGCCCCCAACTGGGGACCTGGCTTGCAACCCAGGCATGTGCCCTAACTGGGAATCAAATCAGTGACCTTTCGATTCACAGGCTGGCACTCAATCCGCTGAGCCATACCAGCCAGGGCTTGTGCTTTCTTATTAACAATATTATTCTACTTATTTAAGGTAATCATAGAGTACCAGCAGCATAAATTCTTTCTGGTAACTCTTCAGTTTCTGAGAGTTGAACTTTATGGTGGTAAATTGTGGTAAATAAGTAAGTCAACTTTAGAAAAAACACAGAGCTTCCTTTCAGGGAGGGGGTGTTTTGTTGTTGTTGGGGTTTTTTTTTTCACTTTTTTTGTTAAAAATTTGAAAGTTTTATTGAAAACTTTAAAGTAGCCTGTCTCTTCATGCTATCACAACTAACAAAGTAACTTGTAAAGTTGCTTTAGAATGAAGAAAAGGGAGGCCTCTGTAACCACTTAGATTTATTGAGAGAGATTTGTATGGACTCCTGTGGACTATGTGTATATATATATATATATATATATATATATATATATATATATATACCTCCCTCAATTGTGCACTCTGGCAAAAGTTCTTCTATACTATTTGACCAATTTATTTATGTTTATGTTCATATCCATATGCACCTATAGACTAGTGGAAATTATAGGTCTTGATAAAGTTTGAGGGATGTAAGACTAGCTTGATTCAAGGCAACAAAAAAAAAGATTTGACAAGGCATTTAGTATTCCACCTTCACATAGAAAACAGGGAAGGAGGAAGAACAATGAATGGAAAGAATGAAAAAGTTTTGCAATTGACTCTATTACATGGGCTAATTAGACTTATTTCCCTGTTTCTGATGGTAGCCACCAATTCTACATATAAAATGATGTCCTTGAATGTGAGAAAGCCATCAGTATGTTCTGATCATTAAATTTATATTTCATTTGTTAGAGTATTTTACCCTGCCCTAAGTGATTTAATAAACCTGATGATTATCGGTAATATCAGACATACTAATATCTAGAAACAGCGTGTTAGGTACTATGCTGTAAGCAGTCACATTCATTATTAGACTCCCAAGCTGCCTGTGTGGTACTCTGTTCCTAGTAGATGCTGAGTAAGTGATTATTGAATGAATACATGAAAAACAGAAAATAACAAACTGGAAGTGAATTTGTTTTAAATGTTGTAAAGGCACTACAAATTCAAGGCATTTCAGAATCAAATTTGATTGATTAATATTGTTACCATTCTGAAATGAGTCTTTTGAGAAGTATCTTTCTCCTTAGCTTGCTTTATTAACATATGTGAATTTAAAAGAACTTATTAGTAGTTTCTATAGCAGAATAACCATTCTGACTCTTTGTTTTTTGGTGGTTTTATGTGATGCTTGTTTTCTGCTCCTTTCCCCAATCAACATCTGTCATCATAGCTCCAAGCAAAATGTATGGTAAAGTAACAAGGAAGATCATTCCATTTTGAATTCTTGATTTGTCTTAATTACAAAGTTCTAAAGTATGTGCAGCTAAACAAATGAACAAAATGCTATTTACAATAGGTATTAATAAGGACCAACATTGTCTCAGCTTTTTGATATGCAATTTTAATAAAGACTAATGTTGGCATCTTCTCACGAGTGGTTGGGGAAAATGATACACTTGCGCGCCAATCATACTGAAATGGTAGTTGAAGTCTGCAGTACTTTGTGTGCCTTGTACTAAAATATATTAAGAAGGTCAGTATGAAGTAAGCAGCCAGCTGTTGGGTTTATCAAAGATAAACTCCTGCAGAGTACAGCGGCACTTAACACACCAGTGGAGCATGAAAAAACGGAGCAAATTAAATTGAGAGAGCTGCTTGTTGAAGATGTGTATCTTTATATTGAACTCCACAGGACGCATTTGGGAGGTTGGATTAAAACATTCTATCAAGAGAAAAATCTCTAAACCTTGGATTTTCTTCCAATAAAAAAGATAATTTTTAAAGATTTGTAACTATTTTACCCAGTACCTTTATAAGAGGATTCTTAGTCTTATTTCTTTAAACCTCATAGTGCATCCCAAAACAGAACCATGTAGCAATCATAGCCTCTTAAGCTGTGATAAAGCAGAAATTGTTAATATATTCACAAGGTAAGAGAGATTTGCCATTTCATTTTTACCCTTTCTTACAGAAGTGATATAGATCTGTTTAAATTTCAAAATCTAGTGATCCATATTTTGTTTGGTTGTAAGCAAACAGAGATGGAATCTAATACATTAAACAAGGTTCAGAGCACTTAAAAAAAAGAATTAGAATCAACTTCTATATATTTTTTTGTGTACTGAAATTCTGAACATTCTTTGTTTAGTGTTGTAGCATCGTTCACACTTTAAAAAAATTCGTATGCGGGGAATAGAAGTTTTAGTATGTAGGTTGCATGGTAAAGAGATGAGTGAATGAAATATGACTCTCGTATACTATTATAACTGTTCGGTACAGTTTTCTAGCAATCAGTTTTAACCTGGGAAGATGCTTATTAAATATTGTTTTAAAATATGTCCTTAAGTATTATCCAACAGCTTTTAGAAAAACTGTAACAAGAACTATTTTACCTAATTACTACAGAGTAACTTCACAGTATTAAATTACGATCTTTAATTCTCAAGGTACTTAAAATAATGAACATGAATACTTTTTCATGGATATGAAAATGATATTTTGTTTCATTTGAGTAATGGTTTTGTGCAAATGTTTAAGAATAACAGGTAAGTGCAAATTGCAATGAATGTTAAGTGAGAGGAAATTATAGCTGTTGACTCTCAGCTTTGGCTAAGCAGCTGGAAACGTAGCGCTTGTTGTGGTCTCTTTTTCAGTAAATAAAAAGTATTCTATACGTGTTCCATATTCTTCAGTTGTACGTCTGAAATTTTGAAATCTGACCATAGAACTCTTTCAGTAGTTATCTGAGATGGTATATATTTTATGTCTATTTTCCATGGGGATATTATATAAAAGGGGTTGATGGCAAAACGTTATGTTCTCTCCTTATAGATGGGTTCACATTGTTTGCGCTCTGTATGTCCCTGGAGTAGCCTTTGGAGATATTGACAAATTGCGACCAGTAACACTAACTGAAATGAACTACTCCAAATATGGTGCCAAGGTGAGACAAAGTGTTTTTGATTGTCTGAAAAAGTTTTTATTAATTTACATGACTTTTTATTAATAGTGTTGACTACCTTCTTAGTAATCATGCCATTTGTATAGTATTTAGCATTAAATCTCTTATTATTTATAGTAATTTTCTCAGAAAACCAGAAATTTATGAATTCTCCCATGTATTTTTAATTTAGAATAACCTGTGGGGGTAAATAATATTGATACTACTGCTATTTCCCTGGCATTTAACACGCTGTCTGGGATATAGTGGGTTCTCAGAACAAATCTGTATTTTCAATTAGTTGGATCAAGTAAAACCTAATTCCTGACTTCATTTTTGAAGTGGAATTTGTCAAAATTGTGAAAAAGAGTACAGGAAGCACTTGTTATTTTATGCAGGTTTTGAGGACTAGTTTTATCACTATGAGTATATAATCTGCTGAGTGAAAGATTTCCAGCCTTGATTGTTTATAAATTATTTTGTATTGACTGACTTATAGGATTATAAATGGTAAAAATATCCACTTATTAACTGAAACTCAGGTATATAATTACTACAAACATTCTGGGAATACTAGAGCTAATTGGGCACCAATATGTTCTCTTTTCATTACTGTTGGGAAATTGGGAAGTTTCTTGAATGATATCAGTAACATATTAAAGGTGAAGTGGGGAACTTATAGGTAATTGGAAAATTTTGATATTGAAAACTTAGAAATTTGACAGTTTTTGTAATTATATTCAGAGTATCTGTTTTTGGGCTCTAACCACTCCCATGCCCCACCCTGCCCCCTGCACTTCAGTACTTATGTGCTTTAGTGTGTGTAATTTTTGTTTAACTATCTGCAGCTTACCCCACCAGAATTAGCTAAAAGCCCCAGGGAGAAAAGCAGGTCCAAGGCCTGAATTTACTTTCCTGGTCCTCAGGTAATTCTACAAAATCTTGTTATCTCTCTGATGCCTTTAAGCTATAGCTTAAAAAACCATTTGTCCACATTTTCTAGCTGAGCCACATTAATACAGATTACCTAGTTCACCATTATTGGAAGTAGAAGTTACCACTTTTTGATAGTGGCTCCATAATTCACAAGCACAGAGCTAGAAGAGACTAGCTTAAGTCATTTTTTTAATAGGTATACATTATTATCATAAATATAAATCTAGTAAAAAAACAGTGACTAAATATTACTTCATATAACTGAAGCCAGCAGGAACCTGTAGACTGAAGAATCATTAAGTGTCCAATTGTTAGCTGGGTTTTTTTCCATTTTTTATTTTATTTTGAAGTATTAGTAGGAAATGGAGTAGAACATTATGTATTCTCTACCTCATCTGCAAAATCAAACACACTGTTGTGAAATATAACAGGGGCAGCTCTTCTAGACCACACGGTCCACCCTTCTTGATCCTGATTATCTACTTCTCCCCTGTGTTCTCAGTTGCTTAGCTCCCTCACATTTTAAATGATTCAGGCAATTAAGGAATATTCTATTTTCCCTGATAGGTTGTTCTGTATTCTTATAAGTCAGGAAGTTTTTTGTCAGGACACTTTTCTTTGTATTCACTCTGAAATCCCTTGCTCAAATTTACCATATTACATTAAATTAGGCAGGGGATGTATTCTTAACAATTTGGTTCTGTTCATAGTAGTGACATACTTTAAATAATTTAATTTCTCTTTTTCTTTTCTGCCCTCTCCTCTCTCTATTCTCTCTCTTTTTTGGTATTATGTTTGGATTACTATTTGCTGGCATTTCATACATACACATTATACTACTGTTGGAAAAAGACCCTTAACGAGGAGGTAGAGCATCAGGATTTGGGAGTGTTTTCACATCAGCAGCCAGAGTCCTGTTCCCGCTGTTTTCACTCACTGCTGACGTAGACACTACCTGTTACAGTATTGTAACAATATTTTTCGTGCCTACTGAGTCTTTTCCCCCATTATGTGTTTCCCTCATGTTTAATTTACTTAGAAAACATTTACTAAATAAAACTTCCTTAATTGTCTATTGGCAGTTTTCCACAATTTAGCAAGTTTTTCTTCTATGAAGATTCTTCTATTACCAAAGCAGTATATATTTTGATAGATTTTTTCCTTCTCTGTAGTTAAGAGAGTTAAAAAAATAAAATAAGTAAACTTTGAGGGGATTTGGGATAATTTCAGCAGTTTATATTTTTATAGTTTTCCTTTTATATACAGAAATAATATAAATAATTGGTGATATCATGTACCTCTACTGATTTCAACAAATTGTTTACTTAAGATTATTTTTAATTTTCTTAAAGATATTTTAAAAATGCATGATTTCTTTCATTGTAATGCCTAGATCTTTCGGTGAATTTTCTTTGACTTTTTATTATTTTTCATTCATTTTTCCAAGCATTATTATATTGTTCTAATCAGTGTAGCTTAATGGTTAAAAGCATGTACTGTAAGGTATGATTACCCTGGTTGGAAGACTGTTCCCCAATTATTTCTTGTGTTATTTTGAGCAGATTTCTTAACCTGTCTTTACCTCAAATTTCTCATGTATAAAATGGGAATACTTACGGTATCTCATTCACATATTAGTACGGAATATTGGCAAATGACATTAATATATGTAAAGTGCTTAGGATAGTGCCTAACATATGATAAGCCCTCAAATAATATTATCATTATTATTATGTCAGTGGAACTTTGGTTTATTTGAACTACATAGAGAATTACTTTTTTCATGTAAACTCTTGGCTTGCCTACTGTTACTGTTTGTACAGATGTACACTATGGTTCACTGTGAGCATTTTGTGGCTGCTTTGTATGAGAATGCTATCTTCATTCTAGAGATATTTGTACACTGAGCACTTTCCTGTTACTCTATGGTAGGAATGTAGTTTCTGTGAAGACCCTCGTTTTGCTAGAACTGGAGTCTGCATCAGCTGCGATGCAGGGATGTGCAGAGCTTATTTCCATGTGACCTGCGCCCAGAAAGAAGGTCTGCTTTCAGAGGCAGCAGCGGAGGAGGTAGGTTTCTTTAAACCCATAGCTGTTGAACATGTTCATGAGGCTTCTCATGACCCTGTTACATGCTACAACAGGTATGCATCATCACTTAAACTTACAAGTTTATTCTTAAAGTCTGTCTAGATCACTGGTCTAAAACTTCAAGAGTAAACAATATATATGAGGTTTTGTCAAAGCAAGTCAGACATTTGAAAAACATGTTAAAATTTGGTAGGGAGATCTAATAGATGAAATGAAACATATTCCAGTGTTTTAAAAATGTCAGCATATTTTATATGAGAATCTGAAATTGTATTTGGGTAATAATATTGCTCTGTTACTCTCTAAATAAACTCATTACCCTGTCTTTATAATCTGCATTTCTTTTTCTTTAAAATTGTTTTTAATTCTTTATTTTCCCTCTAGGTATATCAGCTTTAGTTTAAGAAATCAGTTGTTTTAAAAATGTGTTTTGGAGATTCCTTCATATTCTTTCAAGGGGTCTGTGAGATTAAAGCTATCTTAATGATAATATGAAAATGGTATATATTGTTTTTATTCTTAATTCTCTCAACAACAGTGGTGACATCCAGAGATTATATAACATAACAATATAACATTTTTGAATGTAGAAAAGGTTTTGAGAATCAAGCTATCTTCTTTTATATCAACTATTTAGACATAAAAGTGATTTGCAAAAATGTAAAACGGTCACACTTTTCTTAAAAAGATTTGTGTATTACTGTGTTTTTCTCACATGATCAGAGATAGTTTGACATCACTTTGACTGGATTCCATGCCATTGGAAGGAGGAAAGAGGAAATTCAGAGTGGAGCTTTCTTTCAAAGACATGCTCTGAAAATTTCATACCTCGTTGGCTAGAACTTGTCACATGGCCATGTCTGGCTTCAGGGAGGCTGGAGCAAAATGTTTCCAGCAGGGCAGCCATGTATCCAGTAAAAACTCAGAGGGTTCTAACACTAAAGGGAAGAAAAGGGAAGAATAGATATTGGAAGCCAGTGGTTTTTACAGTAGTTACACTTGCTTATTATATCTGTTCTATTCTCTAAAGAAGATTAATCCCTTGCTCATGTTAACCTTAGAGTTAAGGTTTATTGTCCCTCAATCCAAAATTAACTGATTAAACCCCGCCCCCCGCAAATTACTTGGGCTACTTATTCCCTTTCAGATATCTTTAGACCAAAGATGACTGGTTTTTTTCCTAAATTAGACTTTGGCCCTAATGTTTAATTTACCTATGCAAGCATGAATTCTATCTGATAACTCAATTTCAACCTTTCCTACTTTAAAACAATGAATAATACTTCAAATCTGACCACTTGACTGAGGTTCAGTATAATCTTTATTTCCGTTTAGCATTTTCTGTTACCAAGGTTGAGAGCATGTCACGAGAAGGCGGGGGGGAGGTGGGGTGGTGTGTGTGTGTGTGTGTGTGTGTGTGTGTGCGCGCGCGCGCAATCTCCATCCTACATATTTTTATTTTATTTTTATAGCCATATGAAGTAGTTTCTATTAAGCCTATTTTACTAATGAGTTAACAGAGGCCCAGAGATGTTCAGCTACTTGTTCAAAGCTGCAAAACCAGTAAATTATAGAGCCAAGATTTATATCCAAGGTTTTATATTTCCAAATTCTGTGATCTTATCCACAGTGCTATATTATGACATCTGTGGGTGTCACACTACAAAATTGCATCATGTTTCTTTTTTAAAGTTAAGGACATTTTAGATTTTTTTAAAGTTATTATCTATCTTTCTATTCTCTCTCATTTGTTTCTTGTGTGTGTCATTATTTCTCTTTGGGTTGTAAAACCCTACTTTACAAAGAGATCCCTTTACTATACCATAGACAAAAACTATATGAATAGCTTATCTATATTTCTCATCCTTGAGATTACTTGTCATTTTGTTAGCATTCACATTGTAGATTACTTTTTTCGGTTGTGTATTTTGTAAAATTTTCTATTTTTGATAAATGTCTTTATGTTTTGTACCCTACTCTTCATGAATAAAAAATGTTCCCTTTGGGCTAGTGCCATGAGAGAAGGCTGTGAGAAAGTTGTGTTTTCATTTATGGTTTCTGGGTTATATAAAGAATTAAAGGGGATATCTCTGAAGTGTTTTATTGATAGGCCTTTGCCTTCTTAGCCCGTTTTTATCCTGTTTAGACTCTGTCTATGCATTGCTAGCCAGTTAAAAATGTCTCACTAATCTGTGTTGGCTCGTTCTGTATTTTCTGAATATATTGTTGTTTTATAACATTAATCTATATATTTATAACTTTGATGTTTAATGATAATTTCTACCTAAAATTATTAAAATGCTACTTATTTTAAACAAGATTTTTTAAGGTACACAACTCTAATTAGATATAATACATAAAATTTAATTTCAGTATTTTTAAATCCACGAGGCGCTTTAAGGAAAAAAAATTGTTAAGGGGACATTGATATACAGGGTTAAGGGTCTAAAGAAGCAATTTTTATCGTTGTGTATATAAATTACTTTTGCCATTTGTTTTAGAAATAACCAACACTGTTGGAGAATATTTTAAAAACTATCCTTTGTGTTAAATTTTTTTAAGATCCTTTGGAGTAAAAATGTTCACTTTCCCCTTCTGTTTTTTGATATAGGATATAGCAGATCCATTTTTTGCTTATTGTAAGCAGCATGCAGATAGGTTAGACAGAAAGTGGAAGAGAAAAAACTACTTGGCTCTCCAATCCTATTGTAAAATGTCTTTACAAGAAAGAGAGAAGCAGCTATCACCAGAAGCACAGGTATGGAACTTATGCCAAAACTCATGTTTGTTCTTTTGAGGTTATATATTTCAGATCTCATGTGTATTTGCCAATGACATATAAAACATAGATATGAAATTTGGTTAGTTACTTAGGAAATGGATTGCCATTAAGTTAAATGGTGAGTATAGTTTGTGGCTAAATATATTGCTCCCCATCTAGTCAACAGAGCAGCCATTTATAAAGCATGTTTCCTCATACACTGAATAAATGTCTTAAAAGAAGTTATTCTATCAGTGCAATATGTTGACCACAACTTTTTCAGGATGTTCTGATGTTTATTTATTCAAAGGATTTCATCAGTTCTCCCATCATTTAAAATGCATTTCTATTTAAATTAAGTAAATTTATGAACACTATTCCAATTATTAAAAAGAGAAACTTCAACTTAATCACATTAATTTGTGACAACCCTGATCACAGAGCCGGACTATTGTTACTGAGGGTAAAACTAATTTACTGTAACCCAAGAATTATACAGTACACCTTAAGAACCAGTATATCTTACTGTGGATATATATAACTTGCCTTGAGAGAGGGGATTCTGGCTATCTTTACTTGCTCTAAGCATGGAAGTAAAAATTATAAGGAGTATATTTTACTTTAATATCTTTTTGATTTGTATACTTTATTTTAACAGGCAAGGATCAATGCCCGGCTTCAGCAGTATCGTGCCAAAGCAGAACTAGCTCGATCCACCAGGCCCCAGGCCTGGGTTCCGAGGGAGAAACTGCCCAGACCACTCACTAGCAGTGCTTCAGCCATTCGTAAACTGATGCGGAAAGCGGAACTAATGGGGATCAGTACAGATATCTTCCCAGTGGATAATTCAGATACTAGTTCTAGTGTGGATGGAAGGAGAAAGCATAAGCAACCTGCTCTCACTGCTGATTTTGTGAATTATTATTTTGGTCAGTATAGACACCGATACATGCACATTTTCAATAAGAACAATTTGCTAATGGAAATATTTGATATGCTGTCAATTTTTAATTTATTACCCATGCTATATATATCAAGCAAAGGCATGTTTATTTTCCTAATAAGTTGTGAGTTATTGTAAAATGCTAGGTTCATGTATTTGTGAATAGAACTAAAAGTATTTTAAGTAATGTAGGTTTATCCATGTAATCATCTCTGTGGTAGTTTCTTCCTTTGTGTATTTTGTATATTAGCTTTTATTTTCTACTAAAGTAAAATTGGATATTTAATTTAAATAGAGAGAAATATGCGCATGATTCAAATTCAGGAAAATATGGCTGAACAAAAGAATATAAAGGATAAATTAGAGAATGAACAAGAAAAGCTTCATGTGGAATATAATAAGGTAAGTTGTCTATAAAACAAACAATGTAATATATCTTATTGATGATTTCTTTTGGTGATTTTATAGCATTTCTATTTATGTTTCCTTTTGAAATTCTTCTGAGTTTTTAGGTCCTTCCCTGAAACTCCTACTCCGCATTGTCTTCATTATCATCTCTAACACCTACTGAGCACTTGCTATATGCCAGGAACAATTTTGAGAACTTTACATGTATTCATTCAATTCTCACTTCAACTTTTTAATGTGGGTTATGCTTATTGCTCTCATTTTCAGGGGAGGAAACTGAGTCTTAAACAGGTGAAGTAATTTGCTTAGAGGCTCTTGTAGGTTTTCAAGTCATAGAGCTGGTGTCTGAAGCCAACCTGTTGGACGCAATTCTGTATTCCTAACCCTTGTACTATGGAACTTCTCTAAGTTTGTAGAAAACTTAAAAACTTATTATTAATGTACCATTTTTCCCACCTGTCATTGAAATCTTATAGTTCTTAGCTTTTTCTGATTGACTTATTTCACTAAGCACAATATTCTCAAGGTCCACGTCATTGTAAATGGCAGTTTCTCGTCTTTCCTAATGGCTCAGTAGTATCCCGTTGTGTATTTGTGAGTTGTGGGCACACAGTGCAACATATAGATCTAGTATCATAGAAATGTATACTTGAACCTATATTGACCTTATTAACCAATGTCACCCCAATAAATTTAATAAAAACAAATAAAATAAAATAAGATAAAATTACTATTTTTATCTTGAATTGTTTTAAAATGTTACTTTTGATTTAAAAAAAAATACCTCCCAATTAAAATTTTTATTCTACCTCTTCATTCTAATGATGAGGGAGCTCAAAAAGAAAGATCGTATAAAAGCAAATGTGGCCAAAATGTTAGGTAATAAGTAATGTGAACATATAAAACTGGTATTGATTTATTGTTAGATAACATTTTGAGTGATAAAAACTTGGTCGGAAGAAATATCTCATAATTTGCCACATGGCAGTGAAAAGAGTACTGGAATTAAATTCAGAAGACCTGGGGCTTCTTGCTGGTTCTGTGATCTTGGTCAAGTCACAAAAACCCTAGGTTCTTTAGTTTTCTCACTGGGATATGGTAGAAATGCATTTTGATAGTCACAAGGATTAATGAACAAAATGTGTGTAAAATTATATAGTAAACTATAGCAATATAAAAATGTAGGTATCATTGTCATTAGTAAAAATGCTACCGTAAAATAAAGTGCTTACATTTTGTTGAGTCTTCTTAACTAATTGGACAGCCCCATGTCTCAGCGGTATTATGACTTAAATGCATTATAACTATAGGGGATGTAAACATAGACATTCTTGGATGTATATTGATGAATTGCTTAAATTTTCACATTTTACTACATGTTTTAATGGTGTACTAATTTATATTATTTGCATTGTAGTTGTGTGAATCTCTAGAAGAACTACAAAACCTGAATGGGAAACTTCGGAGTGAAGGGCAAGGAATATGGGCCTTACTAGGCAGAATCACAGGGCAGGTTAGTTTCTTTCAAATTGCTCCCTCTTCCTCTTCTTGTTCTCTGTATTATTTTCAAAAATCAGATCTGTGATACAACTGTCACTTTGCTAACTGAATAATTCTGTGTGGATAGGGCCAAATAATCCTCTGGGATAATGATTTCTGCCTGAAATACATCTAGAGCATTAGAAGCTGCCTACTGAGAACCTGTAGCTTAATTTGGTTGTTTTAACAGCTATCTTGTTTGCAAAATTTTTTCATTTGCTCTAAGTGATTGACCTGTCATTGGGATGAAGTTAAGATTTGAAACACGAGTTAACCCCTCCTACTACATCCCCCCGCACTGCAATTTAGCAGTTTTAGATTCTTTGTCCTATTTTTTCCTGTCGTGTTCTTAAATTTAGTTGGGTTTTTTGAAATGTAAAATTTAAAAGGCAAACTTGAGAGATTTGTTTTCATGTTGATTATGCTTTTGAGCTGTGTAAGAAATGGGTTTAGACATTTTAATGATAAAGTGTAGTTTTTCCCCTTTAGTAGGTATTATTGTAGTTGTGAAAAAAATTGCTTTATCCTTGAACATTTTTAGCCTGTTAAAGTTCTTAGTGTTGAAAAGAAGAATCATTGCCAAATGGACTTCTTTGAATTGTTTTAGCACAGTGTATATAATTCATAAATTAATAATTCATTCAAGTAATTTCAGTTATATTTTTTAAGGATGATGGAGACTCATCGTGGTCCTTTTACTATGAAACTAGTTTTATTTGTGAAGGATGATATTCAAAGAACAGATAAATCTCATTGTTCTCCTTTCACAGGTTTATAGAGTCAAATTCATCATACAATGCATGTAGACATAGTTTAGGAAGTAATGCATGCTGACATGTATTGTTCCGTGCTAGCTTTGAAGATGCTTTTGTGAACAGGGTGCATGTGGCTTTTACCGAATGACATAATTTCCAAGATGAGAATGAGTACTTATGCAGAATTGGCCTTTTTTCCTATTGATAGGTGGCCGATGGATTTTTGGAAGATTATGGTGTTTTATATTTTATATTTAGAGAAGTTAATGTTGAATGCAAGCCTATTATTAGTTTATTTGCCAAGCTAGAATTATCTTTTGGCTTGATTTGCAGGTGTGTCTCGTAAGAATCTTCTATAAAAGGGCATTTTCATTTATTAAATGACTTAACAGAGGTCCACAGATTTCCTTGTGCAAATATAAAATACACAGCAGAGGTCGAATTCATTTGTACTGCTTGCATGACACTTTTTTCCAGTTGGTTGAACAGACGCCGGCCCACTGGGCCACTGAGAAATGACTTTGATAGATGGTTGCTGTCTGAGAAGCCAGCACACCACCGATTAGTAGAAACCCAAAGAGAATCTCATTCTCTTTGTGGAGAGTTTGGTCCAATAAGATAATTTTTCTAATTAACCTATGGAGCACCAGTGTAGTTGGGATGTTGAGGAAAATAAACGGCTTCAATATTCTTTTTGTCAAGTATACTGTGTGTGTTTTTAAAATGTTCTTAAATGCTTGTCCTTTTCTTTCACTTTTAAAAGCTGAAGTAGAAGTTTAATTTTCATAAGGTTTTAGTGTTCCACTGAAAATCGATGGAAGTTTGTAATCATATGTTTCTAATGGAAGTAACTGTGAAACAAAAACTCATTTTAATCCTTTTTGCTGGTGTAAAGCTGGTAAACATTTACCCCTCACTATCCTAGCACTTTCAGTTAACTTGAATGGCATAGAGAGGAAAATGTTGCTTTATATGTCTTCTTTAAAACAAAGTAAACTGCATTTGTTCAAATCAATAGAAGTTGAACATACCGGCAATTTTGCGAGCACCCAAGGAGCGAAAACCAAGTAAAAAGGAAGGAGGCACACAAAAGACATCTACTCTTCCTACAGTACTTTATAGGCAAGTAATAAAATTATGACTGATTAATATTGTATATTTTTAAATTATATAACCTTTTATGCATAAGATTCTTCAAGTATTTGAGAATGAATTGGCCACATCAGAATTTAAGTTACATGCATTTAAAGTTCATTTTATCAATACCTTCATCAAAGATGCTTTTCAGGTTTTATGATAGAAGAGATTATTATGCCTCTCTTAATAAGATAAGTGAAATGATTTTTTGTGTCCTTTAAGTAACTGGGGAAATATGTGCATAAGCTTTATGGAAATGAACAGTCCTATTTGGAGAATTGGAAAGTGACTTTAAATATTGTAGATGATTGTTTTTATAAATAGTTAAATAATATATTAAATAGGCATTTTTATTTTATTTGAATGAGTTGTAGAGTTTTACATGTGTTTTTAGGTAATGAAGGGTATTATATATATACTCTGGGGGAGAATGAAGATAAGTTTTAGATTTGAATGTCTGAACTTTTTTCTCTTTATTCTGAGTTGTAATAATTTTGTTTTCAGAAGTATTAATGTTCTTTCATTTTTGGCTCAGTATTTTACCAATGTTCACCATTATAGTAATTTTATAGTCAAGACTTCTTTCCATACCTTAATAGGTTACAATTTGTTACAATTAATTAATTAATTAATTAATTTTTTTCTGTTGAATTTATTGAGGTGACACTGGTTAACAAAATGATAAAGGTTTCAGCTGTATAATTCCACAACTAATTACCTATATACTGTATTGTGTGTTCACCCCAAATGATTTTTTTAAATATAAATGATTATATTGATTAAATGAGAAAAGTTTAGAAGACACTAGTAGATTCATGTTTGTGTGGATATATACATGCACAAATGTGTATACTCATGTAAACATGCATGTATGCTTATGTAATACATAAACGTCCATCCTTTTTCAGAAATAGCAGCATTAGCAACATCAATCTTTATAATCACTTTCCTTGTTGAAGTCTCCTTCCATAGGTAACAGCAAATAACATCCTTAAAATGTGGGAGAACCCCACTAGCGTACTATGTGAAGACTAGCACATTCTCAATCCAGCTTTCCCGAAACAGAATTGGTTCATTTGGAACCATCAGCCATATCACTATGCTTCTGAGTTTCATCGCTAGAGTTCATTTTTATTTTTGGATATATTTTAGGTGATTTTTTTCTTACTCTGAGCAACTTTGAGACCAAATATTGGTTTTATTGTTGTTGTTTTGTTTGTGTGTATTCTTTTTTTTCTAGGATTATTTAAAGAATTCAAACATCATTGCTGTTTCTGTACAAATGCCTGTTTCTGTACAGGGACAGCTATTTTAGAGTCTCAGTGGCGTTTCCCTCAGCCTTTACATTCCCAATATAAAGAAACATACTCTAGATTTTCAGGTCATGGTGTGTATGCTCTCAGTAAAATTGCCTTTTTGCACAAGAAAAGTTAGATTCCTGAAAAAAAACCCCACCAAAATCCAAAATAACACTAACATCAATAGTAAAACACCTCATTCTCTACAGTAAATATCTATAGTATATTTTTAGGAGACAAAGTCTGATTTTGAAAAGAAACATTTTATATATGTGTGTGTGCGTGTGCTTTTTCAAAAAATATGTATATACACACATATGAAGCTTATTTACATGTTGAAGACTCTTTGAAAGATTTATAATTAATGGTAGAAAAGAAACTGAATTTTATTTGTAAAGTCACTTCTTTTGTAGTTTTAGTGAAGTAGAAAATAGGAAAATTTTATTTTAATAATTTATACTTTTAGAGAAAAATTGAGCTAATGTTCAATGCGTTTTCAATGATAATTAAAATTAAAATAAAGATGATGTTGAGAATAAATATCTTCTATATGCCCTTCTCTGAAAGGTTTGTCTCTAGGACTGTTTAAATTGATACTAAATCCAAGCTATTTTTCTATATTCTCCAAGGTATTTAGAACTAATAATTAGTTATTGACATCATGAAAAGATGTTATGAAAAAACTTTAGATTTCAAAGAAATACTAAGTTAATTGAAAGATTTTGAAATTTAAAAAATATACTATATGTTAATTTCAGTATGATAATTATTATTTTAATACTTTATTTGCTGCCTTTATTCAAAGTTGTGGAATTTGTAAGAAGAACCATGATCAGCATCTTCTTTTACTATGTGATACCTGCAAACTCCATTACCATCTTGGGTGCCTGGACCCCCCTCTTACGAGAATGCCAAGAAAGACGAAAAACAGTTATTGGTAAGTAAAATGGAGAGAGTTTAGGCGTTAGAATTGGGTTGGCTTCCTTTCAGCAGCGATGAAATGTTACATTGTTTCATAATAAAGTTTTGGGTACTTTTTAAAATTGATCATTTATAAATATTTTATCCAACTCTATTGGATATAATCAACAATTAAAAATTGTATATATTTAAGGTGCACAACTTAACAATTTGATATACATACCATTGTAAAATAATCACCACAATCGAGCTAATTAGCATGTTCATCACCTTACATTGTTACTGTTTTCTATTTTTGTGGTAAAAAAAATGCTTCAGACATAAATGTTCATTATAGTATTATATGAATAAAGCTGTAATAATTTTCTAAAAGTTAATTGATGCTATTTTGGTATCTTAGTGGGTTCTTAAAGCATGATTCTGTCCAGTGTTTTTATGGTTTTCTTTTGCTTTATTGTAAGAATTTCTCCAGTGCTTCTTTAGTTTTGAAATGGTGATGGCCAGAGGGAGGGTGGACCTGGTTGGGTGGCAAAGAGGAGGAAAAGTGGGACTTCTGTGATAGTGAAGTTAGAACAAAGAATTTGCCTCCATATTCATCATTTTATTTGTAATTTAATATTTTATTTCTAAGTTAGTGTTACTGAAGGCTTTATTTCTAGCATTTGTCATTTGTGCTAGTTATATTTAAGTTCAGCCATTTGTTTTGCAAATCTAAAAATGTTTGCAAACATTTTTACATGTTTCTTAATTACTTTTTTTCCCTTAACTTGGGCATATTGTATCACTACAGATGTTTGATAAAAGCTTAGGACACCTATGACAAATTTTATACTTTCCTTAATTTTAGTCCAAGGGAGAGACAAATGTTCATTCAAATATTAATAGGCTGACTTTATATAGGAAGAATATAAGACAGGGAAATCTTTGTAATGGACATGGTATTCTTTTTATACAAATTACCTTTTTAGTTTTAGAAAAGAATAAGCCCCAGATTCTTAAATGGTCATCTATACAAAAAGGTGCATATTTCTCAAACACACTAAGCATGTTTTTATCTCATACAGCTGCCTCTGTTCATTTTATTAGTAAGCTTCCATTATTTCACCATTTTACAGGATTGCTTCTTCATGTCCTTTTATCAATTGGTCATGAGACCTCATATTGGTCTGCTCTTTTCAAATGTAGTTGAATGTATTCTTTTTATATTTATGTGTTTTTGAAACCAAACTTTAAGAAGATGCTGGTCTACCTTACTGTAATGCCAGCAGAATTAGTAAGCATCCTACATGGGTTTCTAAATTGATAGTCAGTTTGGTATTCTCCAGGGCGGGGGAGCTTAGTCATGATCTTGGACATGGATATGTGCAGTTGTCTCCTTAAATGAGGTTATGAGCTTGTCTGCAGAGCTCTGGTTTCCAGTGGGTGAGAGTTTTTGGAAGAACTTCAGATCAAAGAACATGGCCTGGGATGTTTTAGTGAAAGCTCTCCCAAAGAGACCTAAATTACTTAAGAGTCCTATGCATTGGTTACAGTGTTTCAAAGTAAAAGTAGAAACTAGAATTGCAGCAAAAAACAAAAAAAACTTTCAGTATCTTCTAGTTTCTAGTGATCATACTTCCTTTGGCCTCTAAAATCAACTTAGCTTTGCTTAGCAGTTAATTGGGTATATATACAAGGGCTGGCAAAAGTAGGTTTACAGCTTAATACAAATAAATAATACAATAATAAACTGTTTTGCATACTCACAACTGTAAACCTACTTTTGCCAACCCCTGTATTTGGAGTAAGTTTTATTTATTTATTAAGTATATTTTATTGATTATGCTATTACAGCTGTCCCATTTTAAGCTTTAGATAATTATGTTTTCTTTGTGTATCTCTGGCATTCACCAATCTGTTCCCTGTATCTATAGTTGGTTTGTTTTTAATAGTCCACATATAAGTGAGATCATATAGTATTTGCCTTTGACTTACACATTTAACATAATGACTTCAAGATCTATTCATGTTGTTGCAAATGGCAAGATTTTCTTCTTTTTTATAACTGAATAATATTTCATTGTGTATGTATGTGTAAATGTGATATATATATATATATCGCATTTTCTTAATCCATTCATTCATTGATGGACATAGGTTGTTTCTATGTCTTGAATACTATAAATAATGATGCAGTGATCATGGGAGTACAGATATCTTCTCAGGAATAGTGATTCCATTCTTTTGGATATATGTATATACCCAAGAGTAGAATTGCTGGATCATATAGTAGTTCTATTTTTAATTTTCCGAGCAGTCTCCATACTGTCTTCCGTGGCTGCTGCAGCGTTTTACATTCCCACCAACAGTACACAAAGGTTTCTTTTTCTCTGTATTCCTGTCAACACTTGTTATCTTGTTTTGATGACAGTCATTCTATAGGGGTGAGATGGTATCTCATTTTGATTTTGATTTTGATTTTCCTGATGAAGTTTCATATAGGCACCTATGAATATTTTCCTCTAAAAAGAAGGGAAAGCATGGGAAAAGGGAAAAAAACTATTGTGTGGTATCTTTGAAGATTAAAAGAAGTTGTGTGTAAAGAAGAAAAAGAGTAAATCATAAACTTTGTATAAAATTTGGAAAATAGAGTGTTGCTAGGTTTATTACATTTAAGATTAATGAAATCATTTTTTTTGCTTTGGCTTATGCATATAATATTCTCTATAAATTAATTAATATACTTACTTATCTTAGCATTATTATACATTAAGGGTAATTATTCTGAACATATGTTGTAGTATGGTGCTGGAGATGAACAAGATATAGGTCACTGAAAAAAATCTCTTGGCATTTCAGTATTGAGGTTGTTCTTTTGCGAAATTGCCAGACAGTGAATTTTTATTATTTATACTTTAAAAAATCTACTTTTAATTAATTGAATGTTTTGATTACTTAAGGTTACCTTTAGTATTTTGCATGGGAATTACAAATTATAGGATTCTCTTCCCTAGTAGAATATATTAAGTTAAAATATGTAGGATTAAGGAGAGTTTAGCTAAATTTATGGGTAATAGTAGCTTAGTGGGTTATGAAAAGAAGCCAGGTATGTGTTTTGACATTATGAAAGATAATTGAGACTTTCCTCCAGGTATTATTTAACTCAATTGAATTGGTCAAGCCATGGCTTTATCCCAGGTTATTATTTTTTCTTGTGTGCTGATGAATGTAGCCGAGATACTTTTTAGTATCTTAATGGATATTTATAATATGGAGACTATATTGTTTAACAGTTGTTGAAAAAACTGCAAGTGGTGTGTTCATATGGTTTGACTCTGTGTATTATAACTATCATGTGGCAGTTGTCTTGAAATAGGAATAGATAAATTTCTATTCCTCTACTTCTGATTATATTTTCCTTTGATTTCTGAGTTATTCATTATTTTGTGGTGCTCAGGGCATAACAGTTCTCCAAAAGCAAGTTTCATTGTCACCTAGATGTGTTACTTTTGATGGAGATGAGAATGCACAAGAGAAGTTAGAGAATGTCCTCACAAGAGTTACAGTTACAAAATGAGTAAAAAGTGAATAACTCAAAAAAAAAATACACAGCACAGTGACTTATCCTAAATACCCCAAAATTCATGCATGTTAAATGTGCATTGGAACTGTCTGAGAAACTTAGACTACATTTCATTTCACCTGGTAGAAATGATCACTTAGTGTTAAGATTATATGCTGTAAAGGCAAGGAACTGGTCCTTTTCTGTGATATATTTGATCTTTCTATAGGCATTTCTGTTTTGATGGCTGTTGTATTTTATTATTATTTACTAATAATATCTAAACTTTGTGGGGTTTTTACAAGTTAGGACTGTCAATAGATTATTTCAAAATATACCCGTCATTTCAATTAGGAGATTCTGTAACCTGTTTACTTTTCAGATGAGCCTTTACGCTTTTCATATGGGATGAAACATGGCAATTTTGTATATTATACTTTAGTTATATTTTTATTTTTACCGTAATCAAAGAATGAAGTGCTTGGTTGTTCTAGTAATAGATACATGAAAATTTTAAAGTAACACATGAAAAATTACTTCCTTGATTTTCTTTTATTGGTCAGTGTTTTTACTGTTAAAATTTTTCTTCAATAGCTTTCTTTAAATGAGCATTTTAAGATATTAAAATTAATACCTTAGAAATTAATTTGCATTTTTGCAATTAATGTATTTGTATTAGCAACACAAATGACACATTGTATTTAATTGTTATTGGAGTTCAAAATTTAAAGCTGTTACTTTTTAAAAATAAATTTTAGTTTGATATTGTTTTACCATATTTATGAGTGAGAGATATGAATTTTGTTGGAGCACGAATTCAGATGATAAGAAATCTTTGAAAATGTTTGATAAGAGAATGATAAGTTTCATTTAAGGGTACAGCACATGTAAACTAAATTTCAAATATTTTATATATTTTTATAAAAAGGATGCTTATAAATTAGACTTTTATTGAATTACTTTCTGATTATTCTTTTCAATTTTTAGAAACTGTATGAAAAATTTTTACTTTTAACAACTTGGCATGAATTTTTGAAAGGGGCTTTTATCATGTCAGTATAAAGATTTCCAGCAGTCATTGTGCAGAATTCTGCTGTTCAAATGTTAGCCACTAGCCATGTGTGGCAATTTGAATTTAAATTGATTATAATTTAAATAAAAAAATGAATATCTGAGTCACATTAGCCACTTTACAAGTGCTCAACAGCTACATGGGGCTAGTGGCTATTGCACTGGACAGTGCACATACACACAATTCTAACATGTAAAGTTCTGTTGCACAGCAGATTTAGACTGATATTTCAGTTTTAATTTTTTAGCATTACTCATGTTTTTCCAATTTCTTTTATTGTGGCAAAGTACACATAACAAAATTTACCATTTTAATGATTTCTAAGTTATACATTTCAGTGTTATTAAATAGATCAATAATGTGCAGCCAACAGTCTCTAAGTGTTTTTCATCATGTAAAAGTATAACTTTGTACCCGGTAAACAATAACTCCCCACTCTTCCCTCCTCCTAGCCCCTGCCAATTGCCCTTCCGCTCTCTAACTCTGGTTTTGACTACTTTACCTCATCTAACTAGAATCATACAGTATTTGCCTTTTTGTAACTGACTTATTTTACTCAGTATAAGGTCCTCAAGGTTCATTCATGTTGTAGCATATTGCAGAATTTCTTTTTTAAAACTGAATAATATTCCATTGTAAGTATATACCACATTATGCTCATCCATTCATTGGTCAATGAATACTTGGGTTGCTTCCACAATGTAGCTATTGTGAATAATGCTACCATGAACATGGGTATACAAATATATCCTTGAGACTCAGCTTTCAATTCTTTGGGGTATATACCCAGAACTGGAATTGGTGGATTAAATGGTAATAATATTTTTAATTTTTTGAGGAACAACCATACTGTTTTCCTAAGCGTCTGTCATTTTACACACCTACCAATAGTGCACAAACATTCTAGTTTGTCTACATCCTTGCAGACACTTGTTACTTTCTGGTTTTTGTTTTGTTTTGTATTATGTTTGTTTTGTTTTTTTGTAGAGTAGCTTTCTGATGGATGTGTGGTGGTATGTCATTATAGTTGTAATTTTCATTTCTCTAATGATTAGTAGTAATGAGCATCTTTTCATGTGTTTATTAGCTATTTGTATATCTTACTTAGAGAAATGTTTATTCAGATCCTTGTTCAACAGTTGGGCTTACAAGCCAAAGCTATGTAATACTAGCTTTTAGGGCAAAACTTTTTTTTTCAGTGTATAAAGTTCTTGTGTCATGTAAAAAACAAAATGTGGAGTTAAAAACCATTGTTACAACAATAATACTAGCCTTTCTAATTGACCAGGTATTAAATTTTCTTGAAATCTTTATTTGTCAATACAGCTCTCAATTACGGTCAACTGTTTTGTTTTTTTTTTGTTTTGTTTTGTTTTTTGGGTTTTTTTTAACCCTGCAGGATTTTTTTTAGAATTTCTTATAGGACAGGGCTAGTGGTAATAAATTTCCTCAGCTTTTGTTTGGGAATGTCTAATTTCGCTCTCATTTTTGAAAGACAGTTTTGTTGGACATAGAATTCTTAGTTGACAGGTTTTTTTTTTCCTTTTAACATTTTGAATATATTAACTCAGTGCCTTCCAGCCCCCAAAGTTTCTGATGAGAAATCTGCTGATAATCTTATTGTGATTGCTATGTGATGATTCTGAAATTCCTTCTGCTTTCAAGAGTCTCTCTGTGTCTTTTTCTTTGGAAAGTTTGATTATAATGTGTCAGTGTGAGACTCTGAGTTTATCTTATATGGGGTTTGTTGATCTTCTTGGATGTTTATATTCATGTCTTCAATCAAATTTGAGTTTTCAGTCACTATTTCTTCAAACATTTTCTCTGTCCTTTTCTCTCTCCTCCTTCTGGGACTTCTACAATGCAAATGTTGGGCCGCTTGTCAATGCCCCACATGTCCATTAGGTTCTGTTTACTCTCCTCCAGTCTTTTTTTCTTTCTTTCCTCATACTCGATAATTACCACAGTCCTATCTTCAAGTTCACTGATTCTTTTGCCTACTTAAATCTCCTTTATTTCCCATGAAAAATGAAATTTTCATTTACATTATTGTACTTTTGAGCTCCAGATTTCTTTTTGATTTATTTTTTGGTTTTCTATCTCTTTATTGATATTTCCATTTTGTTCATACATTGTTTTCCAGACTTTCTCCACATTGTATTTCAGTGAGCATCTTTATAACCATTGTTTTAAAGTCTTTTTCTTCTTCTGCTTTTTTAAAGATTTTATTTATTTATTTTTAGCGTAGGGAAGGGAGGGAGAAAGATAGGGAGAGAAACATCAAAGTGTGGTTGCCTCTCATGCACCCTTTACCAGGGACCTGGCCTGCAACCCAGGCATGTGCCATTGATTAGCAATCGAACCAGCAACCATTTGGTTCACAGGCTAGCACTCAATCCACTGAGCCACACCAGCCAGCGCTGTTTTTAAAGTCTTTGTCTTATAGATCTGCCATCAAGTCTTCTGTTTACTTAATTTTTGTCCCTTAAATGGAGTATACTTTTGCCTTTCTTTGTATGCCTTATGGTTTTTTGTCGAAAACTGGACATTGAAATTTTATAATGTGGTAACTCTTGAATTCACCTGAGGAATTCACCTGTATCCCCAGGATATGCTGTGTTCTGTTATTGTTTTTTGTTTGTTTGTTTGTTTTTTATTATAGTGGGCTGTCTCTGTGCTGAGGATCAGCCTGAGGTGTAAACTTACATTCTTCTCATGTCTTTTCTGAGCTTTTCCCCGGGGAAGCATGACCACTTTCCAGTTTTGCTAGCATATGCACTTATTTTTTAATGTCCTAGTCATTAATATCTGGCTCCCAAAAGGGCAAGAAGAGAAGAATGAAGATGGAGGTATAAAGAACACTGATCTTTTAAGTCCTGGAAGTAACTTTAGGCTGAGAGGGAGTGCCTTGCACTAATAGAAGGAGGAAATCCATCTCTTGGTCTACACTTTTGTGATCAAAATCAGCAACAACAATCAGTGCAGATCCCAATATTTGTAGTCAGGGTTCAATTTGCTCATCCTGGTTCCTAACTACTGTGTGCAAGCTAGGGCAGGAGGAATATGTGCACAACTGCCTGCCAGGTAGCTTGGGCAGCTGCTACTGCTAAGAGCTGAAACCGACCGAAATTAATAGTGATTTGCCTGTGCAAGCCTTTCCCTGGAAGTTGCAAGCCTTCAATCCACTTCAGCCTTCTAAAATAGTTACATCAGACAGGCTCTGCTAGTACAACTGTTTTCTAGGTAGAGAAAGATTCCTGTTGTCTCCTACTCTGCCATCTTCCCCCCATCCCCATGTTCTTAAAAATGCTTCATTAAGTTCTTTTTAATGAGTAAGTTTATGTTTTCTCTTTTATAAGTAGTATGGGCCACTAACTAAAACGACCCATTTATTTTTTCAACACTGTTTAGAATCTGTTTCTACAGAGTTTTCTTAAGTGGTATATTCATCATGGCTTGTCATTAACTAAGATTCAAAGATATGATCACTGTAATAGGAGTAGAGTCAGGGTCAATAAATTACTTTGATTTTCAGGTAACACAATAAATGTCACTTACATAAAAGTCTTGAGTTCCAAAAAGGAACTGCCTTTTTAATCAGTGCTGAATCTCTTATGTTAGTTCACTTAAACATGCAGCATTATTACATATATTTTTATTACACTTATAGGGCTACATGGAATTGTTTTATATATTTACTTGTTTTTATTCTTACAGGAGTATATATGATTTCTCTATATAGTCATTATATACCATGTGATTACGTATACCACGTATGTTTTTATTTATTTTTCACATATACTTAAGTTTTGTGTTTATAGAAAGCAAAGACAATGCTAGAAGGTAAGAATAAATGTATGAACTTACACCTTCCCACTATGCAGGCAGTGTTCAGAATGTGACCAGGCTGGGAGCAGCGACATGGAAGCGGATATGGCCATGGAAACCTTACCAGACGGAACCAAACGATCAAGGAGGCAGATTAAGGAGCCAGTGAAATTTGTTCCACAGGACATGCCTCCAGAACCCAAGAAGATTCCAATAAGAAACACGGTAATTTATTCCCTATTTAGCATGATCATCATAAAATTCTGGGACAAAAACTTCAGAGGTGAGAAAGTGAAAGAAAGGGTGAACATATACTTAGGAGCCAAAGAAAAAAACCTGTGTACTGCGATTGGTTATTCTTAAGACTGTATTGTTTTCTATTATGAAATATACCATACATACCTGAGAATTTATAGTTTATGTATTCCATTTAAAGCATAATAATAATGAACACTTGCTATTAATATAATGAATTTACCAACCAACTTCAAAAACAGAACATTATTAAAGCTTTTGAAGCCTCTGTGAATTCCTTGGTAATCACGTTACCATCCATTTAGCCTAGAAGTCACCTCCTTCTTCAACTTTATATTTCTCATTCTCTTCTTTTAATTACACTCCCAAGTGTGTGTGTTCATGAATACTACATAGTTTTTCTGGTTTTGAATTTTGTATGAATGGAGTCAAACTTTCTTCTTCTGTTATTTGATACTTTGACCAACATTGTATTGATTTCATTCCTACATGCTGATCTATGTATTTATTTTCACTAAGCTGTGATTTTATTTTTTTGGAAGAACAGATCATTATTTATTTTATCTTTTGTTCTGTAGATTGTCATTTTTGCTGTTTGCGTCTTTTTTGTTTTATAAATAACTTTGTTTTAAATATTTTTGTAAAGGGTTCCTGCAGCATTGTAACAGGGAGTTAGGGTATATACTAAGGCATGGCTTTGCTTAGCTATAGAATATTTGCATCTTCAGTTTTGCAAGATAATTCCAGTGTTTCCTGAAGCAGTTTACACTCTTACCAGCAGCGAATAATGATACTGTTGCTCCCAAACTTGTCCACAGTTTTAATGCTTTTTCAGTGTCATAAAACAGTATATCGTCCCTTTATTTAGTGTTCCTCTCAAAACTAATGACTTTGAGCACCTATATATTTTTGGTCCGTTGTATTTCCCTTTTTAGGAAATGTATATTCAAGTCTTTCCTAGTTTTTTTTTATCAGGTTGTTAGCCTGTTTCACATTAAAAATTCTTTGAGAACATAGTTTAAAGAATTTCTTCCAGAAAACATTTACATGTTATTACCAGGTGCCTGAGAGCCCTAAAGCTTGGTGTGCATCTTTCCCGTTACGTGAGTAGTGTGAATCCCTGCTCCAAACCCATGGAGGCTGGATTGCAGTTCCGCATTCTTTGGGGAGACATTTTACTTTCTTACCTTGAGCTGAGGTAGTCAAAAAAATCTACCTGCCCCTGAGGGAGATGTAAAGATATTTTTAGGGTTAGTTGTCATCATTAGCTGTGTTACCTGTTCAGTTTTAGAGAGTCTTTTTTTTTCCCCCCTTAAAGTTTTCTTTCATCTGTAGTAACTGTCCATATTGGAATCACTTAAAAGATTTCATTTAAGAAAGTCACCTAGATTATTTCATTCATTTTTGTCTTATGGGCTTGTTTGAAATTGATGAGGCGAATCCTGGAATTGTTGTCTGTTAGATAATTGAAATAGTTAATTATGGGTGCTCTAAATTAATCAACTTGAAATAGTATTTTTTTGTAATTTTCACAAGTTTTAAAAATTTGCTAAGGCTTTACAAATATATGTTGTAGTTCTATTTGTAATTTTCACAAGTTTTAATGTTTTTAAAGGATTTGCAAATATATTTTGTTTACAAATGAACTAAACATAATTTTCCTTCTTTGAATAAGCCTGCTTGTTTCTCTGTTTCTAAAAATATTTTCTGTAACTCTTTGATTCCAAATCTGCAGCTATTTTTAAAATCTTAGAAATCTCCGTATGTAGATACTTCATATGTAGATATTTACAATGATTATCCTCTTCAGAAACATTTTTTTTCCTAGTTCCTTTTTATTTGAAGAAATTCTTATGGTCATTGTTACCATCGTTATCTTTGGAGTTGTGTAGAGGGAAATTTTGTATATATTATAGTGATATTTATGTGCCCATAGTTTAGTATTATTTAAGATAAAAGAGAATCCCACTTTTTAGAATTAGAATTATAAGGAAGCTTTATAATTTTCTAATTTAGTCCAATTGCTTTCATCTTATTCTTTGTCTCTGGCTTCCTTGTGTAAAAGTTTTAATATTGTAGATATTGGTGGGTAAAACATAAGAAAATATTCTGTGGCCAGTGATTTTAGACAATGTAGTAACATGGTTATTTTCTCTTTTGGGGGAATTCAAATGTATATTGAAACTCTCACAAAAAATATATAAATTAGTTAACTTTTTTCCTCACTTACTTTATCAAAGAGCACTTTTTTCCAAGCTTCCCCCCCGCCACCCAAATTGTAGTGTAGAGTACTGTGTGGTACCAGCTTTGGAATTGGTGTTCCGGAGGCCATGGATTATTTGTGCCAGGGCCTCCTGAGGTGTTTGTTGAAATGTATACTTTGCATATCCTAGAGCTAATCAATTAGAATTGGGGATATTCTAATCTCTTCTAGAATTATTAGACATTAATTCTAATATCTTAGGAGATATTATTATGTAGACTATTTAGATAACAATTATGGCTATTATTTTCACTTTTTCTTTCCATCTTCCCTCTGTCAGTCTGTACAGCAATTCAGAAAACCTATGAGCATGGTCAGTTGATCAGGTACTAGATTAAGGAACATGAGAAGGTAAGATGCAGAAGAGAGTGATCACTCATTCGTCTGGGTCTTTTAAAAAAAAATGTATTTCCTGATTTTAGAGAGAGGGAAAAAAACTATTGATTGTTTCTCCTTTTATTTATGCATTTATTGGTTTGTTCTCGTCTGTGCTCTGAGCAGGGATAGAGCCCACAACCTTGGTTGATTCTCTGACCAACAGAGCCACCCGGCCAGGGCTCAGTCCTCTTGAGCTTACTGTTTAGGCTGAATTCCTGTTGTTATCTTAATTTTTTAATGTGTCATTTCTGTTTCAGAGTTGTATTAGCATTTTAAATTATTAGATGGTATGTTAAAATGAAGCACTCTAGTTTCTTTTCATTAGCACACTGTTAACTATGGGAATCCAGGTATATAACTGCCTACTAATTTGTATAAGAAAATACCTTTCACAATTTATCACTGATTTAGCTCTTCCTTTAATTTTTTTTTTTTTTTTTTGTTCCTAGCACCTTACTCCTTGAGCTTTTTATTTTAGTACATATATAACATTTTGGGATAGTCAGTCCATCCTTAGATTTCTTATAATATTTTGGCTTTTGTTAATTTATGTTTTTCCTGCCATTATCGATCAAAGTGTAGTTTATTTCACAATAGTCATATTAGTCTATCAAAATTTTGAGAAAAAATTTACCTCTGTGACATAGGGGATTTATGACATACTCTAAATTTCAGCGCTCATTTCAAAATAATTTATCCATTAATAAAATTGTTAAAATCATCATTTTTTCCTATAATTTTCTATCAATTTCTATTAAATTTGTTATGTTCCCTTGGGTTGCAGTGATAGTACAATTTTTAGAGACATAGTTCAAGGTTATTTCATGCTAGTAAAATGATTTTTCTTTTGTTATAATAATCCTTTTTGTGGTAGATGAGAATTGGTATTCTGTTAGAATAACTTTAAGTATTCGGACTTTACAGCATAATTAAGCATACAGCACATTAATCTATTTTTTTAAAGGCCTCTCTGTGGAGTTGTCCAAAGACCCTCAAAAATGTAAAATGATCAGGGCTGCTGTGGATTGAAGTCCCATTTTTATTGAATAGTTTTCCTTACCTCCTTCTATTTCTTACTCTTTATACTTTGTATCTTTATGTTTAGAAGTAAAATCAGGTGGTAGTACCGGACTGAAAGGAGGAAGGAAGGGACTTGTGTGTTGGAATAGTTGAATAAATTCTAATATTGGGTTGGCTAAAAAGTCTGTTTAGTTGTTTCCATAAAATAAAAGACATTTTTCATTTTGAGTATGTTGGCTATCTCCTGCATAGTATAATGTTGATTGTTCTCAATTAATGTCTCATTTTGATTGCTATCAATCTCACCTGGTCCAACAGTGGAACATCGCCCAGTGAGAAATCTCCAGCATGAAATTTGACAACCCTCTTTTGACACATTTGATCAGTCACAGCACTTTCTCCATACACTGCACACATTTTTTTTTTTGCACTTCAGTTGCATTTTCACCTTTCTTGAAATAATAAAGGATAATATGCCAAAAAAGTTGCATGTTTTCTTCCATCTTTAATATTAAAATGTCTACACGAAAATTCACCGATTTTGATGTTTGTTTTAAATGCATGCTGGTACGACAGCTATCACAATACAATCTAACAAAATGAATGAAGTTAAAGACTACAGAGTGTGACTAGAGCCACCTTACAGAAAAAAGAACACATTTTGGCCAACCCAATATATTGCTACTATTAATTTAACTTCCATTTATTCATACTGCTAATAAATCCAACCATTTTATTACTTTGTATTTCTTCCTACTACTTAACCACTGGGTATTTTGTATTTCAATACACTGTTTTCAAAGGTAGGTAAGTCAGAAGAGTATGTGGAAGATTAGTTTACCTTTTTATAAGACATATTAATAATAATAAAAATTAACATTTGATGATGATTCATCATACACCAGACATTGTACTGTAATTCTCCACCCTATTCTCCCTTTTAAAAAATAAGCTATTATTTAACTATTATAACCTCTATTTTACTAAAAATGAAACTGAGGAACAGAAAGCTTGAGTCATTTACCTGTGATTTTATATTATGGGATCTCAGTCTTTTTGATTAAGCAATGAATATCTTTTTGATATGTTCACGTGGTTTGGTCATTGTTGAGAGAGATGGGCCTGTAAACTCAATCTTTGTGCTCCAATGCCTCCTTTGTGCCAAACAAGGCTGCTATTAGAAGAATGGCATCCACTTTTTCCTGCTGACAGGCAGTTTCCATTTATCACGGCCAGAGAGTGCAGTGGGAATAGAGTACTTCAGCAAGCCTTACTATATTTTTATTATTTGGGTACTGAGAAAAGTCAA